CTCTTTTCCTGCCCACCAACATTCCGTTTTCCATTCTTGAGTTCAGAGTAGAGCAACTGCTTTGGGAGACGGAGTAGGCAATATAGATTCTCATGGATACACTATCTCTCCCATCCACCATCTCATCCTGGCCAAGGCTAACCCTTTTGGGATCCAAACTTTCCTGTCTTTCCTTCAGGTTCTGCCTCCAAAAGGGAAGAGGAAAGGGAAGGCAGGGAGCTTGGGGAGAACCTGGCCTGCCCACCCTGCTCCAGCCCGCCATGCAGCCCCCAATTTAGAAAGTTATCCCATGTCTCTTCTAGAGTTTATCAGTCAGAGTTCGGTTGTTCCATCGAACTTGGACTTAGAGCAATGAGTTCAAATGACAGGAGATTCCATCTGAACATTAGGAAGAACTTCCTGACATGATAGCCATATATAAACATGTACCTGTTCCGACTTACATACAAATTCAACTTAAGAACAAATCTACAGAACCTATCTTATTCATAATTTGGGGACTGCCTCTCTGTGTGTGTCTGTGTGTGTGTGCGTGTATAATTCCCCTTAGGAAGGAAGTCTTCTAACTGATGCAATTCATAAAGTACATTTGGGGGATTTTTTGAATATTTTACTGGAACTCCTTCTTTACTTGATTTCCACTCTTGCTGACATTCTTTCCTTCTCTGGGTGGTGCTCCTGGCACTGAATGGTACTTCTCCTCAATCCAGTCCAGCCCCATCTCATCCACTTACAAGGAAATTTACCCAGCTTTTTTTACCCAACAATTTTTCTTACGGTTTAAATGAAACAGCGCTCCATGCAGTCATGCTGGCCACATGACCTTGGAGGTGTCTATGGACAATGCTGGCTCTTCGGCTTAGAAATGGAGATGAGCACCAGACCCCAGAGTCAGACATGACAGGACTTAATGTCAAGGGACAACCTTTAACCTTACCCTTTAAATGAAACAGGTAAACTAAAAGACTGACTGGGAATACCTTCACTCCTCAACATCTGTTTCATGTCTACTCTGTATGGAATATTGTCAACTTTCCAAATTAAAGAATAAGACCAAAAAAAAATCACAAGGTTTGCTGATTGATTCTAAAAGAAATGCTTAGATGTCAACCACACCTGCATGCTTCAGATCTTACTTAGGTGAATACTCGTAGCTCGAGGACGATGGCCCTCCAAGTGTAGTGTCTTGGTGGTGGGTCTGTAAGTTACTGTGGAGCCCTATTCTTGATCCACATGTTCTCCCGCAGTGAGGACATTGGTTTCCAGGTGGAAGGTGGTCCCAGTAAAGGTTGGCTTGACATGCCTTCCTCTTGGCACATCCTTTTCACCCTCCATTTGAGATTCTTCGAATTCTGTAGCACTGCTGGTCACAGCTGACCTCTAGTTAGAGCGCTCAAGGGCCAGGGCTTCCCAGTTCTCAGTGTCTATGCCACAGTTTTTAAGGTTGGCTTGAAGCCCATCTTTAAATCTCTTCTCCTGACCACCAACATTATGTTTCCCATTCTTGAGTTGGGATTATAGTAACTGCATCGAGCATTCAGACAACGTTGGCAGTCTAGTGGAGTTGATGACGTAGGAGCATCACTTTGATGCTGGTGTCCACCTGTCTTCCCAAGAGATTTGCAGGATTTTTTGGAGGCAGCACTGATGGAATTGTTCCAGAAGTTGAGCTTGACGTCTGTAGACAGTCCATGTTTTGCAGGCATATAGGAAGGTTGTGAGGACAATTGGAATTTTAGTTTTTATAATCCTGTATATTTTGATTGCACACTAGTCAATTTGCTTTATATCATGGGTTTTTTTTTTGTGTTTTGTCAGGTAATTTTTTTACAATTGTCTGGAATAGTTGCATATTTTATCATTACTATATTCTTTCTGCGTATATGTGAATGCACATATATTTCAGATTGAATGTCTTGGGCAGGAACAACTGTCCAGGGTTGTTTCACTTGTAAACCACCATCAAGTCTAGAAATACAGCCAGTCATTTGGTTTTGTTGGGTCTAGGGGCACAGGACCCTTGTGAAAGGGAGAAAACTGTGAATCTCTTTATTTATTTATTTACTATATTTCTATATCGCCATTCTCAGCCTGGGGTTGACTCATGGCGGTTTACAGAACCCCGAACTGTATTTAGCACAAAGAGTGCGTGTATTGGTGGGATGGCTTGGACCAACTATTTGTATTCATTCACTTACATGAGAGGGACAGGGAATTGGGAGAAATTGGACAAAAATCCCTTCTCCTTTTCCCATCCCACCCATGTCATCTGGATAGCAGAATGTGTGAAAAAGATCTTGGAGTTGTGGACAAGCTAAACATGAGCCAATAACGTCATGCAGCAGCTGAAAAAGCCAATGGGACTTTGGCCTGCATAAATAGGAGCCTAGTGTCTAGATCCAAGGAAGTCATGCTACTTCTCTATTCTGCCTTGGACAGACCACACATGGAGTCACACTGTGTCCCATTAAGGGTACCACAATTGAAGGGAGATGTTCACAAGCTGGAATGTCTCCAGAGGGGGGGGGCACTGAATTGATCAAGGGTATGGAGAACAAGCCCTATGAGGAGCGGCTTAAAGAGCTGGGCATGTTTAGCCTGAAGAAGAGAAGACTGAGAGGAGACATGATGAGGGCCATGGATCAAGATGTGAGGGATAGTCATAGGGAGGAGGGAGCAAACTTGTTTTCTGCTGCCCTGGAGCTTGGATGTGGAGCAATTGCTTAAAACTACAGGAAAGGAGATTCCACCTGAACATTAGAAAGAACTTCCTAGCAATGAGCGCTGTTCAGCAGTGGAACTCTCTGCCCCAGAGCATGGTGGAGGCTCCTTCTTTGGAGGCTTTTAAACAGAGTCTGGATGGCCATCTTCCGGGGGTGCTTTGAATGTGATTTTCCTGCTTCTTGGCAGGGGGTTGGACTGGATGGCCCATGAGGTATCTTCCAACTCTATGATTCTATGATCTAATGCAGTGGTTCTCCCCACATGTTTTGGCCTACAACTCCCAGAAATCCCAACCAGTTTACCAGCTGTTAGGATTTCTGGAGTTGAAGTCCAAAATATCTGAGGATCCACAGGTTCCTAACCAACTTGATGGACTTCATGGGCTTGATGGCCCATGAAGTCTCTTCCAACTCTTCCAACTCTGTTATTCTCTGATTCTACTCCAAACGAAGGGCCACAGTGGTGCAGCAAGTTAAACGGCTAAGGTGCAGAACTTGCTAAACGGAAGGTTGGCGGTTCGAATCAAAGGGACAGGGTGAGCTCCCTTTGTTAGCCCCAGCTTCTGCCAACCTAGCAGTTCTAAAACATGCAAATTTGAGTAGATCTATAGCTACCACTTTAGCAGGAAGGTAACGACGCTCCATGCAGTCATGCTGGCGACATGACCTTGGAGGTGCCTATGGACAAAGCCGGCTCTTCAGCTTAGAAATTACGATTAGCATTGCCCCTCAGAGTCAAACACAACTAGACTTAATGTCAAGGGGAAACCTTTACCTTTACCTTACGCCAAATGAATCCCAGGTTAAAGATTACAGAGATAACCTGGTGCTCAGGTACAGCCAGGAGTATGATTTCAGGGGACAAAATGAAGGCATTTTGATGGCAGAATTCTTATTAGGCAAGCAATGTCTTCATTTGCCATCCCTAATGCACACAAACAGTAAAATTCAGTACAACCACAGCTGGGAATAAGTGGTTTGGAGAACTCCAAATGTAGTTCTGTGGTCAGCAAAAGATTGTCAACTCTCACTTTTGAAACTAAGCACTTCCAGAAATTGTCAGAAGAGTGAATGTCATGCAGTGGATGTTGTTTTTGTTCATTCGTTCAGTCGTCTCCGACTCTTCGTGACCTCACGGTCCAGCCCACGCCAGAGCTCCCTGTCGGCCGTCACCACCCCCAGCTCCCTCAAGGTCAGTCCAGTCACTTCAAGGATGCCATCCATCCATCTTGCCCTTGGTCGGCCCCTCTTCCTTTTACCTTCCACTTTCCCCAGCATAATTGTCTTCTCCAGGCTTTGCTGTCTCCTCATGATGTGGCCAAAGTACTTCAACTTTGTCTCTAGTATCCTTCCCTCCAGTGAGCAGCCGGGCTTTATTTCCTGAAGGATGGACTGGTTGGATCTTCTCGCAGTCCAAGGCACTCTCAGAACTTTATGCAGTGGATATTCCACACCAATCTACCCTAAAGTCATATTTTCTCATTACTCTCTAATGTGCCAAAACAAAAGAAGATTTAAGCAAGAGCAACATGGGTTAAGAGAAGGATGTTGACCTTTCCGCTATTCAAACAAGGCAGGTACTTTGGACTGGAGACTGATCCGGGCAAAGAATATCAAAGGGGCACATCTGTGAGATGAAACAATGGATTCTCTGTCCCTTTTTCATCTTCAAGGGACTGGTTATTGAACACAATTACATTGTTAATGATTCATGAAATTTTTTAAAAAGCTAATGGACAGAAGTAATAAAGGAAATAACACTTCTTACTGGTAAAGTAGACTACTAATAGAAGACAGTTCCATCTTGTCTCCTGTGCTTTACTAATAATATAATATAATATTATATATATACATATAATATTTATAATATTATAATGTAATACAATATAATACTGCTACTACTAATAATACAATATTATAATGATATATTTTTATTTTACTAATAATATTACAATATAATGGTATAGTATAGTAATATATAATACTGATATTGTACTATGCTAATAATATAATATATTATATGTATATATATCTTGTAGCCCCCGGTGGTGCAGTGGGTTAAACCTCTGTGCCAGCAGGACTGAAGACCGACAAGTCGCAGGTTTGAATCTGGGGAGAGGCGGATGAGCTCCCTCTATCAGCTCCAGCTTCTCATGCGGGGACATGAGAGAAGCCTCCCACAAGGATGGTAAGACATCAAAACATCCAGGCATCCCCTGGGCAACGTCTTTGCAGACGGACAATTCTCTCACACCAGAAACGACTTGCAATTTCTCAAGTCACTCCTGACACGACCAAAAAATATCTTGTAAGCCACTCTGAGTCCCCTTCAGGGTGAGAAGGGTGGCATATAAATGTCAAAAATAAATACTTTTTATCCTACTTTGTTTTCATTCTAGAAAATATCCTTCAAAATGAGTGTTTTCCCCCAAATAATGTTCCCAAAAAAGCTACACCTGGATGATGTCTACATCGAAGAATGAATACAGCTTGATACCACTTTAACAGCCATGGCTCTGTGGTATGGAAGCCTAGGTGTTGTTGTTTAGTGAGGCACCTCTAGCTGAGAAGGCAAAAGACCTTGCATAACTACATCTATAATCCCGTGACATTGACTAATGGTATTCAYTCTACAGTGTAGATCAATGTTTCTCAGCCTTCCTGATGCTGCAACCCCTTAATACAGTTCCTCATGTTGTGGTGACCCCCAACCATAATATTATTTTCGTTGCTACTTCATAACTGTAATTTTGCTACTGTTATGAATCGTAATGTAAATATCTGATATGTAGGATGTATTTTCATTCACTGGACCAAATTTGGCACAAATAACMAATATGCCCAAAATTTGAATACTGGTGGGGTTGGGGAGGCTTGATTTTATCATTTGGGAGTTGTAGTTGCTGGGATGTATAGTTAAGCTACAATCAAAGAGCAATCTAAACCCCACCAATGATAGAATTGGGTCAGACTTGGCACACAGAACTCCATGACCAACAGAAAATACTGAAAGGGTTTGGTGGGCATTGACCTTGAGTTTTAGAGTTCTAGTTCACCTACATCCAGAGAGCACTGTGGACTCAAATAATCAGGACCAAACTTGGCATGAATACTCAAATGCCAAATGTCAACACTGCTGGATTTTGGAGAAAATAGAGCTTGACATTTGAGAGTTCTAATGCTGGATTTATAGTTCACTTACAATCAAAGAGTGTTCTGAACTCCACCAACGATAGAATTGGGCCAAACTTTCCACACAGAACCCCCATGGCTTGAAGGGATTTGCTAGTGTAAGCCTTCCACCAGCCTTGCGTGCTCTCCCTTGCCTGCACATGCGCACCACGCTGCCATGCGCTGAGCACACCTGTCCTCCTCTCCCTGCTTGGAGCCTTAGAAATAGCCCTCCCTTTGGCTGAGAGGCTGGTTGAGAGGTTGGCCAAACACAGCAGAGGAGAGCTTTTGGTGGGAGGATTTGCCATCTGTTTCCAGAAAGGAAGAGAAAGACCGGCGGAGAGATCTTCAGCCTTCTTTGCCAAAGGGGTTCCTAAGACCGTCAGAATTATATAGAACCATATAATCATAGAGTTGGAAGAGACCTCATGGGCCATCCAGTCCAAACCCCTGCCAAGAAGCAGGAAAATTGCATTCAGAGCATCCCCGACAGACAGCCATCCAGTGTCTGTTTAAAAGCTTCCAAAGAAGGAGCCTCCACCACGCTCTGGGGCAGAGAGTTCCACTGCTGAATGGCTCTCACAACAATATGTTTTCTTTGGCAACCCTCCAAAACTTCCTTGTGACCCCCCTCCCGGGTTCCTAACCCCCAGGTTGAGAAACGCTGGTGATGATGGACCGCAAGTCATTTTTTCTCTCTGCATGCCAGAACTCTATTTTTAAGACGAACCAGTTCGAATGTTTACGCTTTCTCTCCTCCTGGCAACCCTAAGCTGCTCTTTGATAGCAGTCAATGGCTTACTTCTGAAGAATTGAATTTCCTGCTACACCGATGCCTAATAAAATGAGGAAATTCAACTGAATAAATATTGTCTCATTCAAAAAAGCAAACACAGGGGGAGGAGCAGGGATGGGGTTCACAGAGCTTGGCCCTGATCCATGCAAAAATGCTGAGGACGTGACCCACTCCTATCCTCTGAGAAGTCTCCAAAATGTGCAAATTTTCAAAACTCTGGTGTGTCTATATTGGGGGATTTCCCTGCTTAGCTGCTTCCAAGACATTTGGATATTTCTCTCATTTCCTTTCCGCAGGGTCTCTGCCAGCTCTCTGTCCACCTGCAGGCCAATATCCAACTTGCCTTCACCCCGCCCTGGAGTTGCTTAATCTATATTTATGCCATTTCCCAAAACTCAGCTGTTTCACTTGGGGTGGAGTTACCCAGCAATGAAGGCCTGAAGAGGAAGGCCAACAGTATCAGAAATCAGCCGGACTGCATTGGTCCTGCCACCACTGAAGCAAGGAGGTGCGCTGAAGGCAGAACCCAAAATGCAGCAACTTCACCCTTTTGCCTGCATCCTTGTGGCACTTTTGGCCTTTTGGACAGGTAAGCCAACATATCTCAGAGATAATGGCAGAGCTATCAGAGGGTGCACAGCTACCAACAAGAATCAGTAAATATTTGAAGGCAAAAATGGGAAGTGTTTCCATGAGTTGATTGATGCTGGAAGTATTCATTCAGGACTATCTGTTCGTATATAGAAGAATTGAAAAGGATGGTAAATGGGTTGTGGTTGGTTTTTTTGGGCTATATGGCCATGTTCTAGAGGCATTCTCTCCTGATGTTTTGCTTGCATCTATGGCAAGCATCCTCAGACTACCTCTGAGGATGCTTGCCATAGATGCAGGTGAAAAATCAGGAGAGAATGCCTCTAGAACATGGCCATATAGCCCGAAAAAACCTACAACAACCCAGTGATTCCGGCCATGAAAGCCTTTGACAATAGGATGGTAAATGCTTGCTGAAGTTCCCAGCGACAGTATCTATATTGTCGAAGGTATATATATTGTCGAAGGATCTATATTCTATATTGTATCTATATTGTCAAAGACCTCACAACCTCTGAGCATGCTTGCCATAGATGCAGGCGAAATGTCAGGAGATAATGCTTCTAGAACAGTGCTTCTCAACCTTCCTAATGCCGCGACCCTGAATACAGTTCCTCATGTTGTGGTGACCCCCAACCATAACATTATTTTCATTACTACTTCATAACTGCAATTTTGCTACTGTTATGAACCGTCATGTAAATATCTGATATGCAGGATGTATTTTCATTCGCTGGACAAAATTTGGCACAAATACCCGATATGCCCAAATTTGAACACTGGTGGGGCTGTGGAGGATTGATTTTGCCATTTGGGAGTTGTAGTTGCTGGGATCAAACAGCATTCTGAACTCCACCAATGATGGAATTGAACCAAACTTGACACACAGAACTCCCATGACAAGCAGAAAATAATGGGTTTGGTGGGCATTGACCTTGAGTTGTGGAGTTGTAGTTCATCTACATCCAGAGAACACTGTGGACTCAAACAATGATAAATCTGGACCAAACTTGCCATGGATACTTAATATGCCCAAATGCAGAGTTTGGGGGGAATAGACCTTGACATTTGGGAGTTGTAGTTGCTGGGATTTATAGTTCACCTACAACCAAAGAGCATTCTGAACCCAGCAAGGTTAGAATTGGGCCAAACTTCCCACACAGAACTCCCCATGACCAACAGAAAATACTGTGTTTTCTGATGGTCTTTGGCGACCCCTCTGACACCCCTTGTGACCCCCCCAGGGGTCCCGACCCCCAGGTTGAGAAACACTGTTCTAGAACATGGCCATATAGCCCGAAAAACCTACAACAACCCAGTATCTATATTTACTGGATGCTTTTTCTCCATATGGCTGTATCTACACTGTTATATAATGAAGTTCAGGGCAGCTATATGGGTTTTCACTGATCATATAATGCAGAAGCCGAAAGGTGACACAGGCTTCGATGTAAACTGCCAGAAGCCTGTGTCACCTTTCGGCTTCTGGCAACCCATTTGAATTTCATTAGGTTTTCTTAGAGAAGGAAATCTTAGAGGTGTTGTTGCCTGTTCCTTCCTCTGAAACAGAGCCTACAGCACTTGGTATTCATTGGTGGTCTCCCATCCACTTGCTAACCATGGTTGACCCTGCCTAACTTATACACAGCATCTGATCTTGATGCTGATCTTGATGCTGTGTATAAGTTACAAGATCAGATCAGCATTTAACATACAGAATATAGTTTTTATTAATATCTGATATCTTATGTGTAATCTGATGCCGTGTATAATACCAATACAGGTTGAACATCCCTTATTTGAAGTGCTTGGGATGAGAAGTGTTTTGGATTTAGAATTTTCCCTCAGACTTTGGGCATATCTGCATTTACAATGCCAATTAGCCATGCTTATCTTGTGATAAAATTAATTGATGTTTTATATGTGCACATAGCCTGAGAGTGATTTTATACAATATTGTTAATACTTTTGTGCATGAAACAAAATTTGTGTGGATTGAACTATCAGAAAGCGAAGAGGTTGCTATGACAGCCACACATGTGGACAGTTTTGGATTTGGGAGCGTTTTGGACTTTTGGATGCAGTGGTTCAGTATAATGACAGAAGGATTATCCTGTAATCCTTTTCAATAATTAATAATGATAATGATGATAATAATAATAATAATAATAAATACCCTGTTTCCCTGAAAATAAGACAGGGTCTTATATTAATTTTTGCTCCAAAAGATGATTAGGACTTATTTTCAGGGGATGTCTTTTCCCCCAAATGGATATATTTGAACAAAATGAACAAAATCTGGCTACCAGTATTAAAAACAGCACAACAACAGAGAGGAAACAAACAAGGACATCTAATCACCTCTCAACAAAAGATTGCTCTAGGCACTGCCAGGCAATCAAATGCTAATCAAGGTGGTCAGTTGAAACATTCACACCTAGCTCCAGCAGACAAGAGTCCTTTGTCCCACCCTGATCATTCCACAGATATATAAACCTTTTTTGCTATGTATTGTCGAAGGCTTTCATGGCTGGAATCACTGGGTTGTTGTAGGTTTTTTCGGGCTATATGGCCATGGTCTAGAGGCATTCTCTAGACCATAGATGCAGACGTTTCGCCTGCATCTATGGCAAGCTACCTCTGAGGATGCTTGCCATAGATGCAGGCGAAACGTCAGGAGAGAATGTCTCTAGACCATGACCATATAGCCCGAAAAAACCTACAACAACCCTTTTTTTCCTACTTCCAACAGACCTCACTACCTCTGAGGATGCTTGCCATAGATGCAGGCGAAACGTCAGGAGAAATGCCTCTAGAACATGGCCATACAGCCCGAAAAAACCTACAACAACGCAGTGGGTCTATTTTATTTAATTGTAACTAGACTTGTTTTTGAAGTTGAGCTTATATTTTGAGCATCCTTAAAAACCCTGAAAAATCATGCTAGGGCTTATTTTCGGGGTAGGTCTTATTTTTGGGAAAACAGGGTAATAATATATTTATATACTATCCTATCTCCCCGAAGGGACTCAAGGCGATGAACAACAAAATCAGCAGACATTCAATGCTATACAACAAAATACTTATCCCACCAAATCCCAAAACAAATACATATTTATACCAAAAGAATAATTAAAACATAGGGACGACCAAATGCAGCATTGCCCAAACACGAATCAAGGAACATGAAAGGCACTGCAGACTACTCCAATCAGAGAAGTCAGCCATAGCAGAGCACCTGATGAACCAACCTGGACACAGCATATTATTTGAGAACACAGAAATGCTGGACCACACCAACAACCACCATGTCAGACTACACAGAGAAGCCATTGAAATCCACAAGCATGTGGACAATTTCAACAGAAAGGAAGAGACCATGAAAATGAACAAAATCTGGCTACCAATATTAAAAAAACTCTAAAATTACAACAGCAAAACAGCAGAGAGGAAACAACCAGGCACATCTTAACACCTCTCAACAAAAGATTCCCCCAGGCTCAGCCAGGCCTTCAAATGCTAATGAAGGTGGTCAGTTGAAACATTCACACCTAGCTCCAGCAGAGAAGAGCTCTTTGCCCCACCCCACCCATTCCACAGATATATAAACCCATTGTCCTAATTCCAACAGACCTCACTACCTCTGAGGATGCTTGCCATAGATGCAGGCGAAACGTCAGGAGAAATGCCTCTAGAACATGGCCCTATAGCCCAAAAAAACCCACAAGAACCTAATAATTAAAACAAATGATAGCATATAAAATGTGCAAATTTACATAATTTACTTAACTATGCAAAAGGGCGATAATGTTTTTAAATGGAGGATGAATCAATTATGTGAATCTATATCTGCAGCCTATGGGGGTACAATTCAACCCAGAGACAAGGATGCTATCTTGCTAGGAAGAACTGATTTGAGGCTACCCATAATTAGAGAAAGCTTGCTGAGTTATTTTGTGTATGTTGATTTTTTTTACTTCTTTGGTTTTGTTGCTGTTCTAACAGAAAAAGAAAAGTAACTCACTGCAGAGTTTAGCTTTCGGTTCTGTTGGTTTGGGGAGTATTGTATTTAGGAAACGAAAGCAGAAATTACATTAACTATTATACAGTGTGTGTCCCCCCCCTCCCCCCAAATAACTACAGGCTTTGCATCCACAGATTGAACCATAGGCTCACAAATATTTACGTTACAAATCTGAAAAGCAAACTTGATCTCATAGAATCATAGAATCAAAGAGTTGGAAGAGACCTCATGGGCCATCCAGTCCAACCCCCTGCCAAGAAGCAGGAATGTTGCATTCAAATCACCCCTGACAGATGGCCATCCAGCCTCTGTTTAAAAGCTTCCAAAGAAGGAGCCTCCACCACACTCCGGGGCAGAGAGTTCCACTGCTGAACGGCTCTCATAGTCAGGAAGTTCTTCCTCATGTTCAGATGGAATCTCCTTTCTTGTAGTTTGAAGCCATTGTTCCGTGTCCTAGTCTCCAGGGCAGCAGAAAACAAGCTTGCTCCCTCCTCCCTGTGGCTTCCTCTCACATATTTATACATGGCTATCATGTCTCCTCTCAGCCTTCTCTTCTTCAGGCTAAACATGCCCAGCTCCTTAAGCCCCTCCTCATAGGGCTTGTTCTCCAGACCCTTGATCATTTTAGTCGCCCTCCTCTGGACACTTTCCAGCTTGTCAATATCTCACCATACATTGAGCATCCTGAAGATGTTAGATATATCCTCAGGCTCTCTCCAGAACTCAGTTGAGTTGTTCAATGTTGTATAGAACCTTTGCCATGTTTCTCCACCATTGAATATGCATGGATTTTAGTATCCATGGAAGGGGTGATTGGGTCCTGGAACCGAACACCATGATATATGAAGCATCCATTATGCAATTGACTGCAGGGACACTGATAAAAATGGAGTGCATAATGATTTGTAATTTCCCTATGTTTAGGGCATGTCAATATTGCACCACTCTTTTCCTCAGCGTTCAGAGAAATTCAGATTTTATTATGATCTCTCTAAAAATCTCTAGGTTTTCCAGGGCGATTCTGTGGTCACCTTCTGCTGGACACTGACCATAGACTCACTCTGATAAACCTAGAGATACCAAGAAAGAACATGTGATTTAGTTAGAACCATGGATAAGAGGATCTGTGCCCGGTGGGTGTATGCTACAACCAGAAGGGCCAGGACAGAGAAACAACTCACCAAGTTGTAGACTAGTCACGGGGGTTTGTTACAATTTGGCTAATTAGGATGAAAGTACAAGCAATTTGCTTCAATGTATTGTCGAAGGCTTTTATGGCCGGAATCACTGGGTTGTTGTAGGTTTTTTCGGGCTGTATGGCCATGGTCTAGAGGCATTTTCTCCTGACATTTCGCCTGCATCTATGGCAAGCATCCTCAGAGGTAGTGAGGTCTGTTGGTACTAGGAAAAAGGGTTTATATATCTGTGGAATGACCAGGGTGAGACAAAGGACTCTTGTCTGCTGGAGCTAGGTGTGAATGTTTCAACTGACCACCTTGATTAGCATACAATGGGCTGACTGTGCTTGGAGCAAACTTTTGTTGAGAGGTAATTAGATGTCCCTGCCTGCTTCCTCTCTGTTGTTGTGCTGTTGCAATTTTAGAGTTTTTTTTAATACTGGTAGCCAGATTTTGTTCATTTTCAGGGTCAGCCATTGTATGCTAATCAAGGTGGTCAGTTGAAACATTCACACCTAGCTCCAGCAAACAAGAGTCCTTTGTCTCACCCTGGTCATTCCACAGATATATAAACCCTTTTCCTAGTTCCAACAGACCTCACTACCTCTGAGGATGCTTGCCATAGATGCAGGTGAAACGTCAGGAGAGAATGCCTCTAGACCATGGCCATACAGCCCGAAAAAACCTACAACAACCCAATTTGCTTAAAAATGTACAAGAAACGCAAGACATCTTACATAAAAACGCAAGACATCTTATATAGTTCTGACAACCATTCAAACTTCCCACTCCCTCCTCAGATTGGCCAGAAAATAGGCTGGCCAAGATCTGCACCAGGATTGGCTGAAGGCTCCACTGATGTCATGGCTTGGTCTAATAGGTTGGCCTTCTAGGAGGGTTGGAACCTGGACAAGACAATGCTAGTGATATGTTGATAAACGTTTGATTAGTTCACTATCCAGTCCCATGACAAACAACGATACAGGGCTCAGGAAACAAAGATGCACAACTCAGAAACAAAGGTGCTGATCCTGGGCAATCAAGGGATGGGTTGTCAAAAGAGTTAACAAATGTACGTATTTGTAAGTCTCTGTTTCCACAGAGGGCAGCAGGCTCTGAGCTTCAGGTAAATCACACAAAAATCTTTGGTCTACTCTGGCTGGCACTGGAGATTACTTATCTTTGCATATATACAGTGAACCTGATGGTTGCATTATGTAACAAATTTGAAAAATGTTCTGTTCCTGGTTTGAAAGTGTGATTTCCTACTTAATTGAGTGGTACTTACTTTGAAAGTAGTTGTTACACTCCAGAACCATCATTTTTGTGACTGCCGCAAACTATGTTGAATTGGTTGAGACTTGAGATATTTACTGAAAAACTATAGCAAAATGTGCTGCAGGATATCACACAAAAACAACGTTTTTGCAGTTTAATAAACTTTTCCCCATGTTTTTAAAAAATGATAGAACCAATTAGGAAATGGCATTTATAACCCAGGAACAAATATTGTGTTACATAGTGTTATCTGTGCACCGGGATTGTGGTGAAGCTGGCTGAGTGTCAGCTGCATTAAGATCACTCTGACCAAAAGGTCATGAGTTCGAATCCAGCCCCGGTTGGAGTGGGTTTCCAACCAATTGTGTAGCCTGTTGTCGACCTTTGCAACCCGAAAGACAGTTGCATCTGTCAAGTAAGAAAATTAGGTACCTTAAAGTGTGGGGAGGCTAAATTAACTAATTTATGAGGCCATAAAAAGACTCCAGCAAGCACTCCAGCAAAAAGCATTCGGGGAATGCGGAAGTACTTCATCAGTGTCGCAGATGGACGATGAAAGCGACAGCTCCCCTGGTGGCCAGAAAAAGTTAAATAGTCTCTGTCTATGTCTGTATATGTTGTATGTCAAAATTGGCATTGAATGTTTGCCATATATGTGTACACTGTAATCCGCCCTGAGTCCCCTGCGGGGTGAGAAGGGCGGAATATAAAAGCGGTAAATAAATAAATAAATAAATAAATAAATAAATAAATAAATCCGTATTGGGAAATGGCCAGAGGGATTTGCCCAACCTTTCTATTCCAGCAGGGTAATAATAAAACTTTAAATAAACTTTATTTATGGGTTGTTGTAGGTTTTTGGGCTGTACGGCCATGTTCTAGAAGCATTATCTCCTGACGTTTCGCCTACATCTGTGGCAGGCATCCTCAGAGCTGTGAGGACTCACAACTTTATCTGTATTCCTCCCTATCTCCCCAGTGGGTCTCAGGGCAGATTGCAATGGAGGCAATGGAGATTTGGCTGTCTCTGGGGCTACAATTTTATTCATTTTTATAAAGCAGGTCATACAAAGTGTATATAGGAAATAGATACAGTGTACAGTTAAAAGATACAAGTTGCACAAAATCATGAAGTTGATGCCACATTGAGTCCCTCAATGCTACAGTGAGCTGTTGTTTGATCATTTGGAAATCAATTATTTTCCTACTTGAAACACTCCATTAATCATTACCTATTCTGCTACAGTTTAATAACCAGATCTTGTTCCATTTCACTGCGATATTGGAAGCAAAGTAGGAATAGTACGGAAGTGATTCCATTACACCTGCTTTGGGGATTCCCTAGGAATCTTCATCAAGGAAATGCCAGACTACTTTCCAATGGTTGAATGGCTAAAATGTAGAAAAAAAGATTCCAGGATTTCATAACATTGAGCTATGGTAGCTAAAGTGGTGTCAAACTGCATTAATTCATCAGTGTAGTTGCTCCATACATTAGAGAATTAATGCAGCTCGACATCACTTTAACTGGTCATGTATTGGGTGTGCTATCATTGTCTATTCCTGCATGGCAGAAGAGGGTTAGACTGGATGGCCCTTGGTGTCTCTTCCAACACTGTGATTCTGTTATTCTATTCCAAGTGCTCTTTAATCTGTAGATGTTAAGCTGCTAATTGTTCATGGATACCTTTCCTAACAGAAACAGTTTATTTAGTATAGAGGAAAGAGTAACTTGATGGCAGGTTTGGAAGATGGTTCCCCAGATGAACTCTGGATCTCATGTTTTCTTAGCATAACAAGGCAGTAAAGAGTCAGTCTGGAGTAAAGTCTACTATATACCTATGAATAGATTGTGGCTTGCTGGTTTCAATGGATTTTCAACTTTCTATGTTTCCCTCCCAGATTCAACCGATGCTGCTGCCTGTGACCCTGAAACAGCCACAATTATAGGCGGCAATTATACTGTGCTGGAAAATGGCACACTTTTGCAATACAGTTGCCCAACTGGACAGTACCCATACCCTACTGACTTCCGGCGTTGCGAATATAATGGGAAGTGGAGCTCCATGCAAAAAACAAATGGCGACGCCATCCGCCAAGCCAAGTGCTACGGTATGAAAAGACACTTGTTGCCTTGTAAATAGAGAGTTCCTGCATATTATGGTAGCCTGGAAGCAGTGTTTCTTTAGCTAAGGTTTCAGGGAACAACCAGTTCCATAAATCTCCAGATATGGTTTCCACGACACCTCAAATGTGGAATGTAGATGTTGATGTTTCTTATCACATGCGTACACAAACGCAACCTCCAAATACAACTGTCTTCATCCAAGATCCTATAATACTTCAGTGCTGCATAAATATGGGATTCAGTTACACAATTTGTATACTGAATATCAGTCTCGTTTAGGGTGGGCAACTGGGTAGGGGGTAAGGCCACCTTTTTCACTGCACCCACCTGATGATTCACACCAGCATATACAGTTCAGTGAATCCAAAATGAGTTCACCTCACTGCCAGCTGCCATTTTGGCTGATGTTTTAAATTTATTTTGTGGTTTGGTGAGTTCTATGAGGATTGGGAGAAGCCAGCCACGGTGTTTTAGGCTCAGTTGGGCTGGCTTTCAGCTTACCAATTATCCTAAAATCCTGAATCTAATAATACAAATTGGTTTTGGGGTTTGGGAGATTCCAGCAGTATTTGGGGGTCCCAAAGGCAGCACCCAGCCTCCATGCTTTGCCCACTCCAGATTTGGTGTAATGTATGTGGATCAGTGGCCCCTGCACATGGCTTACAACCTATTGTACAAGTGCTATCTGTGACATAATGTAAAACAAACCACGTGTAGTTCACATTTGATCAGCCCACACACTGCCTTATCAGAGAAAGAAAATATGCTGCACAGATTAACAGTAAAGAACAAATAGTTTACTCGTCGTAGTTCTGAACAACATATGTGCAATGTAATCAGTTGCATCAATTCACATAATGTCCTTTTATGTGAGATTTATAATGGTCTTTCTTTGTCCATATGGCCAAACTCCTTCAGCAGCTCATGAAGTGAGAGCACACTCCAAACTCTGTCTCTCTCTGCTTCTCTCTTTTCTCTCTGCTTCTCTGCAAGCACCTGCATAGCTCAAGCCTGAACAAAAATAACAGTAACCAAAAGTCCCAGACTCAGCCTGCTCCCCGGGCATAGTCCGACCAATCAGCTTTGTGAATCTTATTTTACAGTTGACACACACACATTAGCTGATTTCTCCACCTGCTCCAACACAAAGACAATGTGTACAGATTGTATGCATTCACTTTAAGACAATGTGTACAGATTTTATGCATGCACTATGGGACATGCTTTTGTTGCCATCAGCCAAATATGTCCCTTGTTCATGGTCCAAAACATTGCAGTATATGTCACTATTACAATGCCTATTATTCCATTACTTTAAAAAATCAATGACAATACTATTTAGATATTTACTTTAATTGTCATGGCTCCATTCCAAGGGATCCTGTGTTGTGAGGTACAGTTGACATTCGCAGGTTTGCCTTTTGTGAAACTGATCATTCACGGATTTGATTGCAATGTCCTCCAGTGCAATTCTATCCAGCAGAAATTGACCACAGATATTCCTATAGTGTAATTACAAGCAGGACATTACTACACATTTTTCAACTATGTTGATTCATGACCTGCAGAATGTCAGGCTTGTAGATTAACCATGGCATGAACTAGATAAGTCTTTGGTCTGACCTAGCAGCGCTTTTCTTTATAACACAACAAGATTAATTGTGGCAGGGGAGCACTTGAGACAGGCTTTGAAAGGGAATGTTTTATGGGATTGGCCAAACACACAGGCTGAAAGCTAGACAGACCTCTCCCTTTCTGACATTGGTCCTTCGTTCCAGACATCCGCTGCCACAGGCCTATAGAGTTTGAAAATGGCATGTATGAACCAAGGCAGTTCTACTACAATGTAAGCCAGGAGCTGACGTTCGAGTGCTACGGAGGATACACGTTGCGAGGATCCCAGAAGCGCACCTGCCTCCCAAATGGAAAGTGGAGTGGAGAGACAACCATATGTGATGATGGAGGTGAGACTGTTCTGCAGAGTCTTTCTCTTTGGGAAAAAGTAGGCAATAAAAGGTCGTTTACATCTATTAGCCCCATTTGTTGATTTATGATCATGTTCAGTTACCATCACAAAATCAGAGTTGGAAGAGACTCCAAGGGCCACCCAGCCCAACCCCATCCTGCCATGGAGGACTACTGATCTCTGTATAAAAACCTTAAGAGAAGGAAACTCCACCACTGTGGAATGGTTCTTACCATCAGGAAGTTCTTCCTTCCTGTAGTTTGAATCCATTGCTCTGTGTCGAGTTTCTGGAGCAGCAAAAAACATGCCTGCTCCATCTTCAATGTGGCATCCTTTCAGATATTTAAGCATGGCTATCATGTCCCTTCTCCTCTGGGCTCTAAATATATCCAGTTCCCTAAGCCAAGTTAGGAGAGAGTAGGGGTAGAGATCAAAGAAACAGCAACAATTCTAAAAATGACACCAGTCCTGAGCAATTCTGTGGACTTGGTTTCTCTGCAAAGTAATATTGACAGAGGACTTCATCAAACCCTTAGCAAGAGACAGTAGATCTCACTTGTATTCATCTTTTCTTACAGTTGTTTGCATACAGGTTGTAATCTGGAGCCCTTCCCACCAGTTTATTTTCTCCTCATACATGTTTGAAATAATGCGCTTCTATCCATCACATTAAACCACTGAGCTGCATAACTTGCTGACCAAAAGGTCGCGGTTCAAATCTGTGGAGCAGAGTGAGCTCCCATTATTAGCCCCAGCTTCTGCCAACCTGTTTGTTGTTGTTCATTCATTCAGTCGCTTCCGACTCTTTGTGACCTCATGGACCAGCCCATGCCAGAGTTCCCTATCGGCCGTCACCACCCCCAGCTCCTTCAGAGTCAAGTCAGTCACTTCATGGATACCATCCATCCATCCTTGGTTGGCCCCTCTTCCTTTTTCCTTCCATTTTCCACAGCATAATTATCTTCTCTAAGCTTCTCTGCCAATGTAGCAGTTCAAACACATGCCAATAATTAATAAATAAATAACTTAATTTTTATACTCCGCCTCCAACTCCCCGAAGGGACTCAGGGCGGCTTACTTATGGCACAAATAAACATACAGTACAATACAAAAATAATACCAATAGCATATCAAACAATAATTTAAACTCAGAACAGCTCCCAATAACCTATGGTGAGAACTGTCATCAATGTGAATAGATCAATAGGCCCTGCTCCAGTGGGAAGGTAATGGCCCTCCATGCAGTCATGCTGGCCACATGACCTTGGAGGCATCTACAGACAACGTTGGCTCTTCAGCTTAGAAATGGAGATGAGCACCAACCCCCAGAGTCAGACATGACTAGACTTAATGTCAAGGGGAAACCTTTACCTTTACTTTACCTATCACACTATGGATCCATTCCAAACCTGGAAGCTCTGTGTGTCAAATGCAGCAACTTACAATGGTCTCTGTCTTCTGCAAATCAAGGTATTATTTGTAAAAGCTCAGTTGTGAACTAGTTAAGAGTGCAGCTGATGTTCAGCTTGATGTTCAGCCTAGAATAACAAAAAGCATCAGTAGTTGTAGTCTCACCCTATGGGATGCTAAGCCTCCCCTCCCCCAAAAAAGGAGTCAGATTTACTTGCATACACGATCCAGTATTCACTGTTACAATATCAGTGAAAGTTTCATTGTTGTTTCTTGTCTTTTCCCACACAGCTGGCCACTGTCGCAACCCTGGTATCCCAATTGGTGCCCGCAAAGCTGGCACACAATATAGGATTGAATACAAGGTCCAGTACACCTGTGAAAGAGGCCTCTCTCTTGTGGGATCCAAAGAGCGGGTTTGCCAAGAGTCAGGAATGTGGAGTGGAGCAGAGCCGGAATGTCGAAGTAAGCAAATTGGTTTGAGTGACAGGTGGGAGGAGTCTGAAGTTGGCATGCTGGGAATTATGCTTGAGATCTTGAAGAACTCTTGCTGGACTAGATGGATGAACGAATCACCTGGCATTTTCACATAGACTGGTGGGGAACCTGTTGGGAATTAGTGTCTCATGGGCCTTTCTGGAAAACATCTGAAAATAAAAACTATTAGGAACTAACTTTTGTTTACCAAAGTAGCAAATAAAATTTGCCTAAATTTCTTTATGCTGCTTTCCCAAGTTCCCTTTTTGACTCCAAAAACAAAAGTTGGAAGTGGTAGGTTTACTAATGACTTTGCATTTATATATGTATTAAGAATCTACATCTTAACTAACTAGAGAAAAGATTGGGTAAAATAGGGGTGTCAAACTCATTTTCATCAAGAGCTACATCAGCCTTCAAAGGGCTGTTGAATCCATGGATTGAGAATCCGTGGATACAGAGGGTCAACTCTCTCTCTCTCTCTCTCTCTCTCTCTCTATAACATATTGGTTGGTGCTGTTTAGTTTTTACCCAAATAGGTTATTGAATGACAACTCCCATCACATTTTATTATCTGCCTTGTGGACAGGGAATGATAGGAATTGCTGCCCATGAGCACCTGTGGCTTTGAAGTTGGAGAAAGGTTCAAGGGCGTTTTAAAGTCAGACTTCATATCTACATGCCTTGTATCTAAATTAAAACCCCATTATCCTGACTAAACAGAACAAGCTGCAACCTAGATGTTATTGCACCCCAACTCCCATCAGCTCTAGTCATGATGTCTAATGATGATGAGGAAGATTGGAGTTGTAGTCTGGCATCTGGAGGATCACAAATGTCATGGCGAGTCAGATTCGGCCCTCATGCCTTGATTTTGACACATGTGAGATAAAGTCTTCATTCTTTCCCAACTCTAAATGGCAACAATTAGAGGAGAAGAGCAGAGAGAGAGATAAGAACAAAGACAAGACTGAGAAGGGAGAGGCTTAATATAACCAAAGGCCCCCAGGAAATATCCAGAGTCACAAGGTCTACTTTTGAGGTGTTTATGACCATGCATTTCAAAAGAGAGGAAGAACAAGTGTAGGGTTTAGAGAAATAAATGCAAAAAATCATATTCTGTCTAAAATCCCTGTTGTAAAAGTTGGACAAAAGAGGATTAATCGGGATCCTCCCTGGTAAATTGAGGATATGGACTGGAAATCCAGGGAAGTCCAAAGGGCTATTTCAGCATCTGGGACAAATCTTTTGGGCTTCAGGGAAATAAATGTCAGACTTCAGAGAAGTAACAATCCATGCTCTGCTGCAGTCCAAAGAGTTTGGCAAAGTGAATTTTTGTGTGTGTGTGTCGACTCCCAAAAGCTGCCAACCAGTATGATCAGTTCTTCGTATTGCTAATTCTGCCTCCATATTTTCCTTTCCAGGCCCATTCAGCTATGACACCCCAGAAGAAGTCTCCTCCAAGTTCATTTCATCTCTCACTGAAACTGCTGAGTCCAGTGATTCTGACAAAAATGTTTGTAAGTAGCTTTTGTGAGTGAGACTTCATACGAAAAAGCCTCTCCTTTGGATATTCTGAAAGGAGAGACAGTGATGTTGTTGTTTTTATTACTGCTACTGCTGCTGCTGTTATGTGCCTGTCATACACCAGAGTAGGAACACATCTGGTCTTAAACACCACACCAGCTTGGTAAAATCAGCAAGCAGTTTATTGAAGAATATAAGTAGACAAGACAGTAAAATTAGCGAAACAATAAAGTTCCAAAACAAAGGTTGGTCCATGAGCTTCAAGTCAAATCAAGGTCCATAGGTATATAAATCCATGAGACAGGCACAAGAAACCATGAAACGAGGCAGCATGAAACATCCAATACACAAATCAGGAGCTTGGCAAAAACTTGGTGCATGAAACTAAGAACATTTGAGAGCAAGACTGACATGAAATTGAAACGTTGACCCAACTGAGGCAACTCTTTCCCATAAGGCTTTTCCAGATCCCAAAACCAAAAGAAAAGCATTTTGCTTGACCTTGCCACAAGATAAAGGGTTTTTTAATCTCTCTTTTGCTGTAAACAAGTTGATCTTCTTTGTATCTGAGCACTCCGTTGCTGTTTACAAAAGCCTTGCTTTCTATCTACACTCATTAACTTCTGCACCTGTCAAATTATCTCCAGACAGTTGCTCTGAGAAAGACAGCAAAGGGCCTCTCTCAGGAATGTGACCTTGTGAATCTTCCAGAGACAGCTCGGGCCTCCCATCTAAGCTTAACTCAGGCCTAGGCAAACCCTCATCCCCACTGTCAACAGGCCCAGGCCCACCATCAGGAACATCATCCCCATTCCATGCATGACACAATCACACAGTAAACAGGCTGATGTACAACAGTGCCTTCAGGTCCTTTTTGACTTAAGGTGACTCTATCATGGAGAGTTCTCGCCAAGATTTGGTCAGCAGAAGGCTTGTTTTGGTTTTCCTCTGAAGCTGAATGAGTGTGACTTGGCCAAGGTTACTTGGTGGATTTTCATGACTGAATGGTGGGATTTTGACTGTTTGTGAGTGTTTTGGAGGGAGAGGGGGACAAACAAACATTTGTCAACAGGAACAGTTTCAAATCCTTCAATGTGTTTATTAGCAGAAGACAAATTAGGAGGGGACTTTGGAATATTCTTGGAAGCTTGGCCCTTGGTCGGGACCCTTTTTCCACCCCTGGTGCAGATGCTGGGCAGTGCTGAGAAATTCCTCCCTCTCCCTCTCCATCTCTGGCTCTTTTCCTCCCACAGCCACTACAGGGAAGCGTAAAATCAAGATTGAGAAGGACGGCTCATTGAACATCTACATTGTCCTTGATGCCTCGCGGAGCATTAAGCTGAACCAATTCAAGGAAGCTCAGAATATGTCCATCAAGTTAATTGAGAAGGTACAGACGGTTCTGCGGAAAATCTTTCTGACCTGCAGACGATTGTCAGAACAGTGTCCCTAGGCAGGTCTTGATACTTGAACATAATCGCTAACACCTTGGAATAATGTTCTATTTGTTAGTATCTTGTGATTCGGAGGAGCTGGGAATGTCAGAAGCTGTGTATGCTTACTTATTTACTTAGGCAATCCCTCGTAGCTCGAGGATGATTGTCTTCCAGATGTGGTGTCTTGGTGGTGGGTCCATAGGTGGCCATGGAGCCCTATTCTTGATCCGCATGTTCTCCTACACATTTCTCTTTTTCTCCCTCCATTTGTGCCTCTTCAAATTCTGCAGCACTGATGGTCACAGCTGACCTCCAGTTAGAGCACTCAATTGCCAGGGCTTCCTAGTTCTCGGTGTTCTCTATGCCACAATTTTTAAGGTTAGCTTTAAGCCCATCTTTAAATCTCTTTTCCTGTCCATCAAAATTTCATTTCCCATTCTTGAATATGTCATGTTTGTGTATGAGAGAGACAGAGAAAGAATGAATGTGCACAAGTGAAGTGAACCTCTGAGCGTGTCCATGGCCTCCCTTTGCAGATCTCCAGCTATGACATCACCCCCAGGTATGCCGTCATCACCTTTGCAACCGAAGTCAAGGAGCTTGTGCGTACCACAGATGATCAGAGCACTGATGCATCCTGGGTGATTGAAAAGCTGGAGGGAATGAAATATTCAGGTAAAGCATATTTTTCAGTTCTGGAGCCTTGCAGAGATGGGGCAGAAGGAGAGACAGTGGATGGTGTGCGCACTGCAAAAATAAAAATGTAGTACAGTATAGTTCACTGCTGCAATAAAATAACATAATTGATCTTTTGTTTTACCTGAGAGAACATTTCTAAGGCCCCGCCCACACAGCTGGATAATACCCCACATTATTTGCTTTGAACTGGAATACATGCCACTGGTTTGGCAACACACCTTATGCACTTATGCACTTTACTCATTGGCCCTATGCTCTGAAGTATTGTGCACCAGGCCACCCATCTATATTGAGACTTGAATAATGTTATTGCAGTTGGTTTTGATGCTTGTTTTATATTTTAAATTGTTGTTATGCACTCTAATGTGCTATGTTTTAGCTCTGTTATTTGGGCTTGGCCTCATGTAAGCCACCCCGAGTCCCTTCAGGGAGATGGAGGTGGGATATAGAATTAAGTTGTTGTTGTTGTTGTTGTTGTTGTTGTTGTTGTTATTATTATTGTATGGACTCAGATATCCCTGTTCAAAGCAGATATTGTGGGGTTTTCTGCCTTGATATTCTGGGTTATATGGCTGCGTGGAAGGGCCCTCAGTTATCCAGCATCATCCGTTTTCCAGCAAGGGAGGAAATCCGCTAAAGTCAAACTCATAAATGTGGAGGGAAAAGTAGACTAGGAATTAGTACACGTGAAAAAGATCTTGGAGTCCTCGTGGACAACAAGCTAAACATGAGCCAGCAATGTCATGCGGTAGCTTAAAAAAGCCAATGGGATTTTGGCCTGCATCAATAGAAGTCTAGTGTCTAGATCCAGGGAAGTCATACTGTCCTTCTATTCTGCTTTCATCAGACCATATCTGGAATCACATTGTGTCCAATTCATTGCAATTGAAGGGAGATATTGACAAGCTGGAATGTGTCCAGAGAAGGGTGACTAAAATGATCAAGAGTCTGGAGAACAAGCCCTATGAGGAGCGGCTTAAAGAGCTGGGCATGTTTAGCCTGAAGAAGAGCAGGCTGAGAGGAGACATGATGAGGGCCCTGTATAAATATGTGAGGGGAAGTCATAGGGAGGAGGGAGCAAGCTTGTTTTCTGTTGCCCTGGAAACTAAGACGCAATGGAACAATTGCTTCAAACTACAGGAAAGGACATTCCACCAGAATATGAGGAAGAACTTCCTGTGAGAGCTGTTCAGCAGTGGAACTCTCTGCCCTGGAGAATGGTTGAAGCTCTTTCTTTGGAGGTTTTTAAGCAGAGGTTGGATGGCCATCTTACAGGGTTGCTTTTGATGTGATTTTCCTGCTTCTTGGCAAATGGGGTTGGACTGGATGGCCCACGAGGTCTCTATGATTTTATGACTCTGTGTATTGGAAAGACAGCTGTGAAGGAACTGGAAAAGATCCTCAAGTGTCAAGATGTGTCATTGAATAGCATGGTTGTTGAAGTGCTCTCAAACCGCATTAATTTCACAGTGTAAATGCATCCTGTGGTGATGATTTTTCCTTTTTCCTTCTTCAGAACACAAGCAGAAGCCTGGGACCAACATCCAAAAAGGCCTTTCTGCTGTCTACACAATGATGATCACCCAGCAAGCAGCAGAAAGGAGGCGAGGACTGAATCCTCCTCCGGTGTCCGAGAAAACCCGCCATGTTATTGTCCTCCTGAGTGATGGTGAGATCTTCTGGAGAGAGAAAAATAAGCTCTTTGGTCCTCCAGAGAGAATGGAGTTGCTCTCAAACACACAAATGCATACTTCAAAAACACTCCTCTGAGTTTAGAGCTGACAATTGGTGGAGATTATTTATTTATTTATTTATTTATTTACAGTATTAATATTTCGCCCTTCTCACCCCCCAGGGGACTCAGGGTGGATTACAATGTACATATACATGGCAGACATTCAATGCCACACACACACAACATATATAGAGCACATGACCTTGGAGGTGTCTGCTTAGAAATTGAGATGAGCACCCCCCCCCCCCCCCCCCCGCGTCGAACATGACTAGACTTTATGTCAGGGGAAACCTTTACCTTTACTAATGAGAGAATGTGGCACACACCATCAGCTCCAATATACAAACCACCTTTATAGTAATTGGATGTCTCATGATTGTTCTTCATCCTTTCCTTCCTCCCCCCCCCCCCCCCTCCTTTTCTACAGGTGACTACAACATGGGTGGTGATCCAATTCGTGTCATCAGACAAATCAGGGACTTCCTCAGCATTGGACGTAACCGCACCCACCCCAGAGAGGACTACTTAGGTAATTTAGACATAGTGATGCAGTGGACTGTGTGTTGGCAGGCTGACATGAAGTTTCTGGTGTTGCCGTTGGTGGTCTCAAGGGCTGGTCCATGGTATCTTTTTCTTATGAGCCTGTTAGAACTCTACAATTGATTAATCTGGACTCTTATATTCTTTTGATCTTCAGATAGTTTCTAATATTTTATGGGAACTAAGTCAATTCTGGGTATGTTCAGGTCGCCTGTCAACTTTATAGTGTTGTTTATTTGTTCAGTCGCTTCCGACTCTTCGTCACCTCATGGACCAGCCCAGGCCAGAGCTCCCTCTCGACTGTCACCACCCCCAGCTCCTTCAAGGTCAAGCCAGTCACTCAAGGATACCATCCATCCATCTTGCCCTTGGTTGGCCCCTCTTCCATTTTCTTTCCATTTTCCATAGCATCATTGTCTTCTCCAAGCTTTCCTGTCTTCTCATTATGTGGCCAAAGTACTTCATCTTTGCCTCTAATATTCTTCCCTCCAGTGAGCAGTTGGGCTTTATTTCCTGGAGTATGGACTGGTTTGATCTTCTTGCGGTCCAAAGCACTCTCAGAATTTCCTCCAACACCACAGTTCAAAAGCATCTATCTTCCTTCGCTCAGCCTTCCTCATGATCCAGCTCTCACATCCATAGGTTACTACGGGGAATACCATTGCTTTAACGTTGCCAGTGTGATGTCTCTACTCTTCACTATTTTATCGAGATTGGTCATTGCTCTCCTCCCAAGAAGTAAGCGTCTTCTGATTTCCTGGCTGCAGTCTGTGTCTGCAGTAATCTTTGCACCTAGAAATACAAAGTCTGTCACTGCCTCCATGTTATCTCTCTCTATTTATCAGTTTTCAATCAGTCTGGTTGTCATAATCTTGATTTTTGTTGTTTTGTTTAACTGCAACCCAGCTTTTGCACTTTCTTCTTTCACCTTGATTAGAAGGCTCCTCAGCTCCTCCTTGCTTTTGGCCATCAAAGTGGCATCATCTGCATATCTAAGGTTGTTAATGTTTTGTCCAGCAATTTTAACTCCAGCCTTGGATCCATCAAACCCAGTTTATGGCGACTCCACAAGTTTTTGAGGTTTTGCTTGGGCAAGGAATACACAGAAGTAATTTTGTTGGCCCCTTCCTCTGAAATATAGCTTACAGCACTTCCATTGCCACAGGTCTGATGCAAGATATAGCTATTGTTATTGTTTGCCCCTGGAAACTGCTGTCATGATTTATGCAGTCACTGATCAGTGGAAAGGCTCTCACACCATATAAAGAGATCTTAATGCAAGAGTACAATATGGATTTCCTTCTCCTTTATCCATTTTGCTTCTGCCTTTATTTCTTCAGGAGGCTTAACATTTCTATACTCATCCATATGTTTCTATCCACATTTTCCCACAGATGTCTATGTCTTTGCTGTTGGGGGCACAGTCGTCATGGAAAATGTGAATAAGATTGCATCTCAAAAGAGTGGCGAGACACATGCTTTCAAAATAAAAAACTATGAAGACCTTCAGCTGGCTTTTGAGAAGATGATCGGTAAGAAGGACCTATATTTTCACTAATTTCATGCTTTACCTGTTGGGCCTCCAATGCCAAACCCCAAGAGGTGCAACTTAGGAAGCTGGATAATGTTTAGCTTGAAGAGAATGACATATTTCAATATTTGAGGGCATGTCACATTGAGGAAGGGGCAAGCTTGTTTCCTGCAGCTCTGGAAACTAGGACACAGAGCAATGGGTTCAAATGGCTGGAAAAAGGAGAAGGACATGATACGAGGATTTAAAGATCAAACTGCAAAGAATCTGGCACAAGCCAGTCAAGGTGGTCCCAGTGGTGATCGGCACACTGGGTGCAGTGCCTAAAGACCTTGGCCTGCACTTAAACACAATTGGCACTGACAAAATTACCATCTATCAGCTGCAAAAGGCCACCCTTCTCAGATCTGCACGCATTATTTGCCGATACATTACACAGTCCTAGACATTTGGGAAGTGTCCGATGTGTGATCCAATACAACAGCCAGCATGGTGATCTTGTTTGCTGTGTAGTAATCTTGTTGTGTTTCATATAATATTAATACATTTACAGTAGATTCCCAGTTAACTGGCACCCAAGGGAAGTAGCAGGAGCTGGACCAATGTAATTTCTAATTGGTTGAGAATTGCCATTAAAATAGGCCTAACTAATACTATACTCCATACTGTGCCGTACTATAACTTTATATATTGACTTCATTCAACATGGACTAGTTCAGAATGGGATCTTAGGAGCCAACAGTGTGATGCAGCAGCTAAAAAAGCCAATGTGATTTTAAACTACATAAATAGGAGTATAGAGTTGAGATCCTAGTTCTTGGTGTCTATGTCACGGTTTTTAAGGTTAGCTTTAAACCCATCATTAAATTTATTTTCCTGTTCACTAATATTCTGTTTGCCATTCTTGAGTTTGGAGTTGTGGCGAGGGAGAGAGACTATTTCCTCTTTTTAAAAAAAACACTTTGCTGCCTTATATTGGTTCAGTTTCTTCTTTTATATTGGCTGGGACTTTCTGTATGCTGTTAAACCTTTGTACTTTATATCACAGGCAATGAAACACTCTTGTGTATAACAAAGTAACACAGTTTATTTATAACTTCTGGCTCCAACGCTTGTGGTTACATTTGTGTTTTGTTGCAATCTTGAGGCTTACAGTCAGTATCATTTACTTGGTTAACTTTTCTGAATAAACTATCAATGTTTCACATTCACAAACATGTTACTTGCTTTACACACTCTTGGCTGAATTATATTCTGAACTAAGGCAACACTAGCCTTCTTTATGTTCCTTAAAACTCGAGCTCTATTTAACTAACTGCTTCTCTATATCAGAAATCTTTAACACATCTTCATAACTGCTTATTTCTATCAGGCACTCAAAAACCAACTCTCCTCTTCACACACAGATTCCTAACTGTCATTTTCAAACTCCCTCACTCTAACTGCCTCTTTCAGAACCTTGGCTCCACCCCTTTGGAATGTTCAGCTCTGCTCTCCCCAACTGTCATTTTGGCCTAGCAGCCTTTTCAAATCCTGGGCCTACACTAATCTGCATATGACCAATCGGCTTAACATATGCAAATGAATCCTATCTCTGCTGTTGCTACCCTGTCTGTGCCTATTCTTCCCTATCTGCCATATGTAAACATAGAGCTATACATCAAAACTTTAACATAGAGTAGCAATTTCACTACAGGAGTATAGTAACTGCTTTGAGAGACGATGAGCAGGCATTCGGACAATATCATCATAATCATCATCATCATCATCTCATCTTACACAGTCCTAGACACTTCGGAAGTGTCCGATGTGTGATCCAATACAAAATCCAGCATAGTGATCTTGTTTGCTGTGTACTAATCTTGTCATGTATCTAATAATAATAATAATAATAATAATAATAATAATAATTCCTAGATGAAAGTGAGACTTTGTCTATGTGTGGCTTGGCCAAGGAGCACTCAGAGGCGGACTACCAACAGAAGAACCCCTGGTACACCATGATCACCATCAGGGTAAGATGGAGACCTTTGGAGTGGAAGCTGAAAGCAGTTGCCTTCTTTGGTTGTGATGTTGAGCTCATGGCTTCCTCTTTCTCCAGATGGGCAGGAAAAGGGGGAAGCAAGTTTAGGCTTTTTCTCAACTTTAGTGTTCATTTTATGTTCACCTTCTGTGCAGATTCTGTAGAGCAGAAGTTGAATTACAGAACATAAGATGAGATGATGATGATGATGATGATGATGATAGATTTCATTTCTTATTTATCTCTCCCCAGGTTTGAATCAGGCTAACAGTGGTTCTCAACCTTCCTAATGCCGCGACCCCTTAATACAGTTCCTCATGTTGTCCTGACCCCCAACCATAACATTATTTTTGTTGCTACTTCACAACTGTAATTTTGCTACTGTTATGAATCGTAATGTAAATATCTGATATCCAGGATGGATTTTCATTCACTGGACCAAATTTGTCACAAATATCCGATACTCCCAAATTTGAATACTTACTGGTGGGGTTGGGGGAGATTTAGGAGTTGTAGTTGCGGGGATTTATAGTTCGCCTACAATCAAAGAGCATTCTGAACTCCATCAATGAAGGAATTGAATCAGACCTGGCCACACAAAACTCCCATGACCAACAGAAAATGCTAGAATGGCTTGGTGGGCATTGATCTTGAGTTTGGGAATTGTAGTTCACCTACATCCAGAGAGCACTGTGGACTCAAACAATGATGGATCAGGACCAAACTTGGCATGAACACTCAATATGTGCAAATGTGAACTTTGGTGGCGTTTGGGGAAAATAGACCTTGACATTTGGGAGTTGTAGTTGCTGGGATTTATAGTTTACCTAAAATCAAAGAGCATTCTGAACCCCACCAATGATAGAATTGGGCCAAACTTCCCACACAAAACCCTCATGACAAACAGAAAATATTGTATATTCCGATGGTCTTTGGGGACCCCTCTGACACCCCCTCGCGACCCCCCCATGGGTCCCGACCCCCAGGTTGAGAAACAAACCCCAGAATTCTGCAGGAGGCAGAAATCAGATTTAAAGTGGATTCATTCTCTAGTGTGATGAAATGCCAAGATGGGTTAACAGTACCATATCCCTTTTAGAGCCTTGTGTGATAATGTCCTTATTCCCAAGTAAAAATTCACAGGATTGCAGTTGCAAAATATTCATCTACCATTCCAATGACCCTCTATTTTCTAATTCCCCACTGCTTTTCCCCCCTTCCAAACCAAAGCGTACAGGCGGCGTCTATGAGCACTGCAAAGGAGCCCTTGTTTCCAAGTACTATGTCCTGACTGCAGCCCATTGCTTCACTATCGATGATACAGCTGATCAGATCACTGTCACTATTGGTAAGTCATCTCATTTCAAGATGAGGATGGGAAGAGGGAAGAAATTGGTGGGTTGCCACATGGCCAGGAAAAATAAAAGTTTGCTCTCGAACCTTTAACCATGTCTCAATGAACAGAGACCAGTTGGTGCTATTCCATGATGTATATAAGTGGTAAAAATATGCAGGAGGCTAGAAGACACTGAAACCAGAAGTGACTAGATATTTTATTTATATTTATTAACTTTATTTGTACCCCGCTAGCATCTCCCGAAGGACTCGATGCGGCTTACACAGGCCGAAGCCTCAGAACACAATACAGTAAAAAAATAACACAACAAAACACAGCAAATCAATAGTTAAGCAAGCAACAACGACAATAACAATACATCATGACACTTTAAAACTGGGCCGGCCAGCGCAATGGGGTACAGGGTTAAAAGTGCTAGAGTGGCAGGAGGAGCATAGGAATAAAAATAGTACGGTGTGCAGTAATGTTAATTGTACTAAAGTGCTTCTAGGACTTGGGTGGGGGATTCCTAATCTGAGAAGGCACATCGGAACAGCCAAGTTTTTAGGTTCTTTCTGAAAGCTGCTAAAGTAGGGGCCTGGCGAAGATCTTTTGGAAGTCCCAAAACCAATTTCAATCTTGGTTTTGGGACTTTCAGCTTCAATTATTTAAATGCAAAACAATGCTCCTGTTTGCAAGGGCGGCTCAACTCATTACGCAAAAGTAAGCATTTGCAGTATAGTTGATTTTGCCCAGGGGCGCTCTTGAGGCGCTCTTGGGGGAAAATAGACCTTGACATATGCGAGTTGTAGTTACTGGGATGTATAGTTCACCTACAATCAAAGAGCATTCTGAACTCCACCAATGATGGAATTGAACCAAATATGGCACACCGAACTCCCACGACAAACAGAAAATATATATCAGTGATTGGTTGGGGGGGGGGGGGGAATACTGTTTGCTTACATTGAAAATTACCTAGGGCCGCCTCTGCCTGTTGGCTTCTCAGATTACAAAAATGTTGCTCACCATTTCGCCCATTCCCCTTTATTTTATTTTACTTACATCCTGATTTACCACTGTCTCAAGTGTGGCTGGTGGGGACGAAAGAGAGGGCCTTCTCTGTAGTGGCTCCCCGGTTCTGGAATACTCTCTTAAAAGAGATTAGGTTAGCTCCCACCTTGACTCTTTCCGATCCATCCTAAATACATGGATTTTTAAGTAGTCTTTCCCCCTCAAATAGGCTTTTTTTCATGTCAGGAGCACTTTGAGAAATTGCAAGTCGCTTCTGGTGTGAGAGAATTGTCTGTCTGCAAAGACGTTGCCCAGGGAATGCCCGGATGTTTTGATGTCTTCCCATTCTTGTGGGAGGCTTCTCTTATGTCCCCACATAGGGAGCCCCCAGCTCCTCATGCAGGGACATGAGAGAAGCCTCCCACAAGGATGATAAAAACATCATATCATCTGGGTGTCCCCTGGGCAACGTCCTTGCAGATGGCCAATTCTCTCACATCAGAAGCGACTTGCAGTTTCTCAAGTCGCTCCTGACACGACAAAAATAAAATAAAATAGGGAGCTGGAGCTGACACAGAGAGCTCATCCACACTCTCCCCAGATTTGAACCTGCGACCTGTCGGTCTTCAGTCCTGCTGGCACGGGGGTTTAACCCATTGTGCCACTGGGGGCTCCTCTTGAGTAGGCTGAAATGGGCCCATGTGAAGTTGACACTTTGGCACTTTAGTTGTGAATTTAAGGCAGCTAGTTTTGACTACAGATTGTCTGCATTTTAAATAGTGTTTTAATTTATTTTTATGTGTTGACAGTGATTGTTTTTATAACTTTTGTTATATTATTTATATTGTTTTATATTGTTTTGTATTATTTTTATACTCATGTACCATTAATGTTGTATACTACACTTGTGGTGCCTTGTAAGCCGCCCCAAGTCCCTTTTGTTAGATGGTGGAGGGATATAAATGAGGCTAATAATAATAATAATAATAATAATAATAATAAGAAGAAGAAGAAGAAGAAGAAGAAGTTGTAGTAGTATTAAAATATGAATATAAAACAGAAAGAAGGGAGGGTGTCAACCAAACCTCATATGGGAGGGAGACCCACAGCACAGAAAGAGCTGGTCTTATATTCCCAAGATACCTGCCTCATACCCTCCAAGGCACTGTTTATGCCAACCAAAATATTTCAGCCTTTCAAATATTGGTTTTGCTAGCAACATACTTTGAGGTATTTAGATGAGTATTGTGTACTGCCTGCTGATGTCTGTGGGTGCCTAATTTATTTTTCTTTTCTCTTCCTTAGCCAGAAGAAATTATTATGTCAAAGCCCTCTACTCCCACCCAGATTATCAGATTGGGAGACTGGCCAAGAAGGGAATCCCTGAATTTTATGATTATGATGTTGCTCTAGTGGAACTTGCATCTCCCGTCATGCCCTCTCCTGCTCAAAGGTGAGATGAAAGGAAGGAAAAATGAAAATAACAAAGGGTTGGATTTTTGCTCCACTTAAAAACCAAGGAATGTCACCTGTGCCCATTGAGGAGCGTATCACACAATATTGTTATAGAGTAGGTCCTCCACTTCTGTTGGGGCTAAGGGTGCAAGACCTCTGCAAAAGTGAAAAAACCTGGGAGAACAAATCTCTAGGAACCTCTTAGGTCCCATCCACACAGTACCTTTATCCCAGGAGCTCCCGTTTCAAAATGGAGTATGGTTAGACAATGTTGCTGAAAAACCCAATGTTAACTATAGTTTGTTGAGTTGTCTTGCAGATGACCCAAGGCAGTAAATTTGGCAATGGACGCTGCATATGTATTGTTTGCTCTGGTGAAGTTGGAAATGTTAATACTGCCCAAACAATAATGATGCAAGACTTGGGCCATGCCCTTCTACATTGCCATCCCTCCTAATTTCTTCTTTTCCTTTCCCAATCCACAGGCCTATCTGTCTCCCATGTACAGAAGGAGCTACCCGAGCTCTGAGAAAGCCCCATCCTCAGACCACCTGCAGGGATCATGGTAAGAGAGTTGTGTGTTTCGTTTGTGATTGACCAGTCGGACTGAATCGCTTCTGAGTGCCCCCTTTCAAGGAGTGGAGCCAAATCAGCCCCTGGGTTTTCCAAGGAGCTGGTGGTGATGAAAGGAGTGAGAAAAAGGACTTTATTGCATGGAAGGGGCAAACTGGCACAGCAGCAGGACTATCAAATCCCTATCATGCAGCACCATGTGATACACGTCACTGGTCCATCATTTTTCATTATGAAACCTGCCAATAGCCCTAGCCATGCCACAGTCCTGGGACTCTGCAAGTGTGAAGTGTCTTAAAAATAAATTAAAAGGTTAAACAACAAGCAAAGGCGGGAGCACCACAGTGGGAAGGCAGGGTTATATTGCCCACCTGAAAGTGCAGCTTTGCAGTGCTGCAATGTCACAATTACGCTACGTAAGTGGCTATGCGATGTCATGATGGTTAAGGAGCTGTTATCCCACATTGCAAAAATGCTGAGGGATAGCAGCTCACATGGAATATTTTGAATGAATCAGGAGACATGATCATCATGTTTACAATTTTGAAAGGATGTCATGATTAAGTGGGAACAGGCTTGTTTTCTGCTGCCATGGAGACAGACACGAAGCAGTTGGTTCAAAGAAGGAGATCCTGAACGTTAAGAAGAATTTCATGACCGTAAGAGCAGTTCAACAGTGGAACCCACTGCCTCAGAGTGTGGTGGAGGCTTTTAAACAGAGGCTGGGTGACCATCTCTCTCGATGAACCAGCCCGAGCTCTTAGATCCTTGGGGGAGGCTCTCCTTTCACCCTTGCCATTATCACAGGCTCGTCTTGTAAGTACAAGGGAGAGAGCCTTCTCTTCTGTGGCCCCTCGACTCTGGAACTCATTGCCTGGTGAGATTAGGAAGGCCCCCACCTTAGAAACTTTCAAGAGGGATCTCAAAACCTGGCTTTTCCGATGTACTTTTGGAGAGTAGCCATACTATCATACACAGTTGCTCCCCCTTAACGGTTTTTTGTCCCCAGAGTATATTTCCCCACCTGTATGAAGGTCTATTTTTGTGCTGGTACAGCTGTACCAGGAGCTCCAACTTCTTTTCCTTTCTATTGAGTGTTTGCATGTATTCCAAAGTTCCATGTATTTTGTAATAAGGTGGCTTCCCTTGGTTAGCAATCATAGGGTCAATGACCCATCAATTATCATTATGTTCTTTAGTTCCGCCCCTTTTTCTGGGTTAAGGAGGGAAAAAGGGAATCTCTAGTTCAGTTCACACAGAGAAGCCTTTCGTACAGGACGTGAATCAGTTCCACCTGTAGAAAGCTTCGTATTTTACAGTTTTGCTGGGGGGATCCAGTCCCATAACTCTACAGTCAGCCTTCGCTGGGAACTGAAAGCCTTCTTTCCTCTTGGAAATCTACTAAAGGACTCTGTTTGGTAAGGACCACTCGCAGCAGACATAAAGCAATTTGGACCGGGTGTAAGGGCCCATGCCAACAGAGCTTAAGTCAGATTGCCCATGGAGGGGTCAAGGATTTCCCTTGTAGAAGGAAGAAACAGTTTATGAAGAAAGTTGCCTGTCCCTTGTGGACAAGATTTAAGCAAGCCACCAGTTGATTCAAAGCCTAGAAGTATTTGTTTGATTTATTGAAGATTTAAGCAACAATAAAAACTTTGTTAAACTTTCTAAGTCTTTAAAAGAACTTTGTGTGGGGAAATCCAAAAGGCCTCTCAGCTGAGGCACCCCCGGCGTCCCGTTGGGCATTCAGAAAACACGTCCTGTCTACAGACTCTTTCACAGGCCCAGCGCGTGACAGCACAATTTTTATGACCCCGTTCCTTTATGAGTTTCTCCCTCACAAACAATCTGCTCCATTCCTGTCTCATCCTGATTTTAGTATTTTTAGTATTTTAGTTATTTTTTAAATCTTGCACATGCGGCCCGCTCATTGTTATTTTATTGTGTATGATTTTCCTTTATCGTGTTTTTTGTACTCATATGTTGTATGCATTTTACTGTGTTGTTATTGTGTTTTGGTTTAATTTTCTTGTAACATGCTGTTGGGCTTGGCCTCATGTAAGCTGCCCCGAGTCCCCATTGGGGAGATGGTGGTGGGGTATTAAATAAAGATAATAATAATAATAATAATAATAATAATAATAATAATAATAATAATAATTATTATCTGTCAGGGTTGTTTTCATTGTGCTGGGTTGGATTGGGTTGGACTGGATGGCCCTTGGGGTCACCATAGAACACCACAGATCTGCTAGGATCCCAGCGTCCCTGTTCCCCAGCCTCTCTTCCTTTTCCATTTTGCCTCATTGCACTCAATACCCTTGGCTTTTTTTAGAACAAGAACTTCTCCCTGCTTCAAATGTCAATTCCCTTTTTGTAACTGACTGCGAAGACGGTGGCAAAAAAGGGCTGCGTCGCAGAATCGTGCGGATCAAGAATGGGGACCAGGTGAGGAATGTATCTGAGTGCCCATTGTGAGCAAGAACAAGGAATGGCAACCTACGCTGTGGCTCTTATGGCCATCGTCTCATAGGGGTTTCTCGGAGAGACTCATTCCAAGATTTGTCATTGCTTTCTTTTATAGAGTGTGAGAGTGTGATTTGCCCAAGGTTACGCAGGATGCATCTGCACTGTAGAATGAATGCAGTTTGCTTTTACTTTAACTGCCATGGCTTTGTTCTGTGAAATTAATTTGATGTGAGTGTTGGTGCCTCACTAAGCTACAGCTCCTGGGATTATATAGCATTGAGTCATGGCAGTTCATGTGGTGTCAGACTACATTAATTCTAGATATGTTCTCAGTGGGTTTCCAGTAACATGCAACAAAATAAGTAACAACATTTGACAGACTATCTGTTTATGCTTTGAAAATGTTATTTCCTGTTTAGTTGAAGGGTACTGACTTTGAAAGTAGTTGTTATGCTCCAGAAACTTTGTTTTTATGGTTGCCACAGGCTATGTTGAATTGGTTGAGACTTTATGAGGTAGTTATTGAAAAACTACAACAAAATGTGCTGCTGGATGTCCTGCAAAAACAAAGTTTCTGCCATTCAATAAACTTTCCCTATGATTTTATGATAGAAGCAATTAGGACAACAAGTTAAACATGAGCCAACAATGTCATGTGGCGGCAAAAAAGCCAATGGGATTTTGGCCTGCATCAATAGGAGTCTAGTTTCTAGATCCAGGGAAGTCATGCTCCCCCTCTATTCTGCCTTGGTTAGACTACACCTGGAATATTGTGTCCAATTCTGGGCACCACAATTGAAGAAAGATCTTGACAAGCTGGAATATGTCCAGAGGAGGACGACTCAAATGATCAAGGGTCTGGAGAACAAGCCGTATGAGGAGCGGCTTAAGGAGCTGGGCATGTTTAGCCTGAAGAAGAGAAGGCTGAGAGGAGACATGATGAGGGCCATGTATAAATATGTGAGAGGAAGCCACAGGGAGGAGGGAGCAAGCTTGTTTTCTGCTTCCCTGGAGACTAGGATGCGGAACAATGGCTTCAAACTACAAGAGAGGAGATTCCATCTGAACATGAGGAAGAACTTCCTGACTGTGAGAGCCGTTCAGCAGTGGAACTCTCTGCCTCGGAGTGTGGTGGAGGCTCCTTCTTTGGAAGCTTTTAAACGGAGGCTGGATGGCCATCTGTCAGCGGTGCTTTGAATGCAATATTCCTGCTTCTTGGCAGGGGGTTGGACTGGATAGCCCATGAGGTCTCTTCCAACTCTTTGATTCTATGAAATGACATTTATAACCCAGGAACAAAAATCGTGTTCCATAGTATATAGCCTTGCTATGCTTTTAGCCTTGTAATACTTCTGTTTTCAAATAAGGTGCCTGGTTCATTGGGGGCTGCTCTGAGTAAATCCATTGTTTCTCTCTTTCTCAGAAATTTGCCTGCGAGGAAGATGCCAAAAAAGCTGACCACTACAAAAACGTCACCAATGTGGCAGATGTGGTGACGGACCGCTTCCTCTGCACAGGGGGCTTTGATCCCCAGGCGGACCCAAACACTTGCAAAGGTGAACTATTTCAGTCTGGTTCCTACATCAATTAAATGAAGGGTGGCACTGTTATGACTAACAAGTTGACTTCAGTTCACACTTCCTAGGGCAGTGCTTCTCAACCTCTTCCTAGTGCCGCGGCCCCTTAATACAGTTTCTCATGTTGTGGTGACCCCCAACCATAACATTATTTTTTGTTGTTTCTTCAATACTGTAATTGTGCTGCTGTTGTGAATCCTAATGTAAGTATCAGATATGCAGGGTGTATTTTCATTCACTGGACCAAATTTGGCAAAAATAACTGATAGACCCAAATTTGAATACTGGAAATTGGGCCAAACCTCCCACAGAGAACCCCCCTGTGGGCCACAGCAACGTGTGGCAGGGGACGGCTAGTATAGTAAATAAATAAATAGTTGCTGCGATTTATAGTTCACCTACATTCAAAGAGCGTTCTGAACTCCACCAAGGATGGAATTGAACCAAACTTGGCACACAGAACTCTCATGACCAACAGAAAATACTGGAAGGGTTTGGTGGGCATTGACCTTGAGTTTTGCAGTTGTAGTTCACCTACATCCAGAGAGCACTGTGGACTCAAACAATGATGGATCTGGACAAACGTGGCACGAATCCTCAATATGCCTAAATGTGAACACTGGTGGAGTTTGGGGAAAATAGACCTTGACATTTGGGAGTTGTAGTTGCTGGGATTTATAGTTCACCTACAATCAAAGAGCATCCGAACCCTACCGACGATAGAATTGGGCCAAGCTTCCCACACAGAACCCCCATGACCAACAGCAAATACTGTGGTTTCTGATAGTTTATGGTGACCCCTCTGACACCGCCACGTGCCCCCCCCACCCTGGTATCCCAACCCCCAGGTTGAGAAACACTCTCCTAGGGCAAGGAAGTCTCATCCTAGAATAAATTGTTTCATCTTTACTTATGTGTAAAGATGTGTCCCTGCTTTTAAATCACCTTTCAATTCATAATGAATTTCTATGAATTTCTTAGAGTCCTTTTAGGCAAGGAACAGTCCGAGGTGGCTTTGCCAATTCCTTCTTCTACTACAGCACTTGGTATTCATATTCATTGGTGATCTCCCATCCATGTACTAACCTGGCCTGATCCCACTTAGCTTCCAAGATCAAACAGAATCTGGAGCCTTTCTAACCTGTGGCCTGTGGACATAATAGCCTCACAGGCATAAATGAATGAATGAGAGGAAGAAAGATAGTCATAAGGACGGATAGGCCCCTTCCGCACAACTGAATAAAATCCCACATTATCTGCTTTGGACTGGAATATTTGGCGGTGTGGACTCAGATAACTCAGATCAAAGCAGATATTGTGGGATTTTCTGCCTTGATATCTGGGTTATATGGTTGTGTGGAAGGGCCCATAGATATAGTCTTACCTTGATCTCAGGCTGTATCTACACTACCCTATATCCCAGGATCTAATCCTAGATTATCTGCTTTGAACTGGATTATTGAGTCCACACTGCCATATAATCCACTTCAAAGCCGATAATCTGGATTTTATATGGCAGTGTAGATGGTGCCATATCCGGGATAAGCAGATAATTTGGGATCAGATCCTGGGATATAAAGCAGTGTAGATCCAGGCTCAGAAAGCAGAAGTCTTCCCAGGGATAGATCACGTTGCAATATCTCAAGCTATTCGAAAGTAATGCAAATAATGCTTTGATATCAGTATCTCAACATATTGAGCAATATTTCTCAAACTACTCAAAACTTAGAAATAAAACGGCTTGACCAGAAAAAAAGTTTTCAGCACCTGCTGCCTTTGTAGGCAATGAGATAATACAAGTGAATGATGCTGTATGTCCCAGGATTCTATAGCACGTGTAGCCATGGCATTTAAAATGGTATCAAGCTACATTAATGCCTTTATCTGGCTTGTTATCCTAATGTAGCCCTTATTTCATTCTAACCAGTTACTCACACCGAAGTACCGCTTCTGTAACTATTGAAATGAGTTAATTATTTAACTCTAATAGCTGCAGAAGTGGTACTTTGGTGTGAGTAACCACACTGAGGATCTGGACCTGCCCACATCCCTTTAGATCAGTGTTTCTCAACCTGGGGGTTGGGACCCCTGGGGGGGGTCGTGATGGAGTGTTGGAGGGGTCGCCAAAGATCATCAGGATACATAGTATTTTCTGCTGGTCATGGGAGTTCTGTGTGGGAAATCTGGCCCAATTCTATCCTTGGTGGAGAACAGAATGCTCTTTGACTGTAGGTGAACTATAAATCCCAACAATTCTCAAATGTCAAGGTCTATATTCCCCAAACTCCACCAGTGTTCACATTTGGGCATACTGAGGTTTTGTGCCAAGTTTGGTCCAGATCAATCATTGTTCGAATGCAGAGTGCTCTCTAGATGTAGGTGAACTACAACTCCAAAACTCATGGTCAATGCCCAGCAAACCCTTCCCATATTTTCTGTTGGTCATGGGAGTTCTGTGTGCCAAATTTGGTTCAGTTCTGTTGTTGGTGGATTTCAGAATGCTCTTTGATTGGAGGTGAACTATAAATCCCAGCAACTACAACTCCCAAATGACAAAATCAATCCTCTCCACAACCCCACCAGTATTCAAATGTGGTTGTATTATTGGGTTTTTGTGCCCAGTTTGATCCAGTGAATGCAAATATATCCTGCATATTGAATGTTTACATTACGATTCATAACAGGAGCAAAATTACAGTTGTGAAGTAGCAATGAAAATAATGTTATGGTTGGGGGTCACTACAACATAAGGAACTGTATTAAGGGGTCATGGCATTAGGAAGGTTGAGAACCACTGCTTTAGATGACGGAGCTTCACATGCTAGCCACTGATGTATCATTTAATTCACTTTCTCCTTTTGCTTACAGGTGACTCTGGCGGTCCTCTCATAATTCAGAAAAGGCTGCGTTACATCCAGGTAAGTGGCCGCTTGGTCTGGTCCCAGGCTGCCTAGCTAGATGCTTTTGTGACCCACATTGATGCCTTAAGTAGATCTGGTCTTTATACTGAAGAAGCACACCAATTTCCGCACTGAGGCCCCTTCTACACTGCCATAGAATCGAGGTTATCAAAGCAGATAATCCACATTGTTCAGTCATTTCCAACTCTTTGTGACCTCCTGGACCAGCCCACAGTTAGCCATGGCCAACTCCAGCTCCTTCAAGGTCAAGCCAGTCACTTCAAGGGCAACTTCCATCCATCTTGCCCTTGGTTGGCCCCTCTTCCATTTCCCCCAGCATCATTGTCTTCTTTAAGCGTTCCTGTCTTCTCATTATGTGGCCAAAGTACTTCATCTTTGCCTCCAGTGAGCAGTCAGGCTTTATTTTTTGGAGTATGGATGATTGGATCTTCTTAGTTCAAAGGCGTCTATCTTCCTCCGCTCAGCCTTCCTTATGGTCGAGCTCTCGCATCCATAAGTTACTACAGGGAATACCATTGCCTTAACTATGCGGATCTCCGTTGCCAGTGTGATGTCTCTACTCCACTATTTTATCTCTGTCTATTAGGCTTGTTTGATTAAAAAAAATGGTTCAAAACTTGTTTCGGATGTAGGGGGTGCTGGTGGTTCAATTCAGAAGTCAAATCTGATTTTCACAGAAAAAAATGTTCAAAACTTTTTGAAACTTCCTTAATGGTTTGAAAGTGTTATTTCCTGTTTCATTGGGTGGTCTGTACTTTGAAAGTAGTTGTTCTACTCCAGAAGGAGGGGGGGGGGGGCAAAGTCAGGACATTCATCCGATCTGGTTTAAAACGCTTCCCAAGCTTGAGACCAGAAGGAAGGGGACAAGAAAGGCAGGAAATTCTTCTGGTCTGGTTTTCGTTAGTTTTAGTCAATCATCTCTCTACTCTGTTAAGATTGTTTTGAATTCTGCTCCTGTCTTCTGCAGTATTGCCTATCCCTCCCAACTTGGTGTTGTCTGCAAACTTGATGATCATGCCTTCTAACACGCTGGGTTAGAAAAAGTACATTTGTTCTGTAGGTTTGTTCTTAAGTTGAATTTGTATGTAAGTTGGAGCAGGTACATTTTAAAGTGTAACTCCATTCTCTCGTATCAATCAGCACAAATCCCATTGCCGCTGTAAAGTTTCCCATCTTACATTTTTTCCTCTTTTTTTTTGCAGGTGGGCGTGATCAGCTGGGGCGTTGTCAATGTCTGTAAGAGCAAGAAAATCTCCTGCGACCCTCCAAGAGGTGGCCATGTGAACTCACCCAGACATGCCAGGGATTTCCACATCAACCTCTTCAAGGTCATGCCGTGGCTCAAGGAAAAACTGAGGGACGAGGACCTGGGATTCCTGTAGATCTACCCTTCCCACCACACCTGGGACACTCTGTGTAAATAGAATTTGTGTCTTTGAATCCCATAGAATGGATTTCAGGCTAGTCATTGTATATTAAATTGCATTTTGTGAAAAGAAAGTTGTGCATTCTTTTGTTACTTTCATCTATTTGTCTACAATTCTGTTCAGCGGGAGATTTGGTGTCACACAAAGAACTGGGTGTTGTATTTCACACCAACATTGGGTCCAGAATTCAGCTTTCTCTTAATCTTAGCCTTCCTTGTTTTTCTTCCTGTGTTTCTACATCATACAGAGAAGCCAGAGGAAAAAATAATGTCTTTAAAAAAATTAGAAACCTGTGATTTTAGTTAAGAATTTGTGAGCTGTGCCGTTCACTTTAATTTTTTTTGTTCCAAAAGCCAATATTATATATTTGAAGCAGGGCAGATTGGCCTAATGCAGCTTGTTAACAACCGAAGATATACATTACAAGTGGAATATCCCTTATCTAAAATGCTTGGAACCAAACATGTTTCATATTTCAAATTTTCTTGTTGTTGACAATTCATTTATTTATTTATAGTATTTATATTTCGCCCTTCTCAGCCCGAAGGGGACTCAGGGCAGATCACAACGCACACATCCACAGCAAACATTCAATGCCATTTTTAGACTTACAAGACAGAAAGAGGTATTTTGACATTTTTTCCAACTTTTCACCTGGAGTTTATGCTCGATTCCAGCCGCAGGGGGGAGCTGTCACTATGATGGTGAGCACTTTTGATCGCATTTTCTCCTTGTTCTTTGATCGCTGGCAATTTTATGGTGTCGTAAAATACCTCCCTGCTTTGAGTGGTGCCTAATTTCTCTAGGCTGTTTTGAATTGCTTAGGTGCAAAGCAAGCTAGGCTTAACAGTCGGGTGCTCAATTTGACTTGGGTTTCGAACTTTCCACCTTCTGGTCAGCAATGATCTATTGCTGCTGGCAATTAACCAGCTGTGCTACAGCTATGCAAATAAGTAATTTGAATATATTTAATGAGATATCTTGAAGCCCAAGTCCAAACATGAAATTCATTTATTCATTTATACACAAAACCCGAATGCAATTTTATACACAATAATTTAATAACTTCGTACATGAAATAAAATTTGTGGACACTGTATCCCAACTCCCATCAGCTCAAGTCATAATGTCTAAGGATCAGGAAGGCAGGAGTTGTAGTCCAGCATCTAGAGAGTCAATTACAATGACGCAGAGGGCCAAATCCGGACTTCCTTGAGGTGATGTGTAAAGAGATTGTACAAATTCCTTCTCGTGTATGGCCAGTTTGTTTCCCAGGGTGAGTTTGATGAACAACAAAATGGTGAGGCAGAGGTAACAGTTCACTGGACATCACAAGACTGTAGATTTGCCAGTTCATCAAGATTCATATATTTTATAGAATTCATATTTTGAGGGAAACAATTTCTCAATAAGATTTTCATTTTAAAAAAAACTTCACTTGAGGGGCATCTATACTATAGAATAAATGCATTCTGACCCTGCTTTAACTACCGTATATTCTGGCATATAAGACTACTTTTAAACCCAAGAAAATCTTCTCAAAAGTCAGGTGTCATCTTATATGCGGGAATCGTCTTATACGTGGGAGTAGTCTTATACATGGGAGTCGTCTTATACGCTGTAGTAGCCTTATGCATGGGAGTCGTCTTATATGTGGAGGTAGTCTTATACGCCAGGAGTCRTCTTACAGAGCGGCTGCTGAAACTTCCAATCTGGATTGGAGACTCTGTGGTTGCTGCATATTGTGGGAGGAGCTCAAAAATGGCAGTGGCCGCGTCCCTGCCGTATGCAGCGACTGTATGAAAGCATTAAGGGTGACGCTGTACAAGTACGGTAGAAGAAAATCCATTCATCAGGATTCATGAACTTAATGCAGTCCTGATGGTGAGGTGAAGGAGCACTTCACTGGGAAGGTGTAAGTGAAGGGTGGAGCAAGCTGAAGGCTTCCGGGGCACCCGGGATATGGAAAAAAAAGAGTGGCTCTGGGACCAGAAAAACACAACTCTTTCACCTGTCTGCCCCCCCCCCCCGTATCCTATTACCGTACCTCCTCCTCTGCCTCTCAGATCTCGCTCCTGAAGACTGCAGTGAAATGGTGCAGGTGCGAGATCTGATAGGCAGAGAAGGAGGTACAGTAATAGGAAAATTACCATATTGAAATCAAATCTGATGCTTTAAAATTTTTATTTGGCATGTGTTGGAAGAGAGGTAGTCTTATACAGTGAGTATACCCCAAACTCTATATGTTAACTGGAAAAGTTGGGGGTTGTCTTATATGACCAGTCGTCTTATATGCTGGAATATATGGTACTGTGGTTCAATGCCAAAAAATAATGGGAGTTGTCATTTGGCCAGCCATCAGCACTCTGACTAAGAAGGCTAAAGACCTTGTAAAATTACAAAGCTCTTGATTCCCTAGAACTGAGCCATGGCAGCAACATCAAACTGTATTTCCTCAACAGTATAAATGCAAACCAAGTTATTTACTCTCTCTGCATGTCAGAACTCTATTTTTCAGAAGCATCAGTTCGGATGTTTGCACTTTTTCTCTACCTGGCAACTTTAAGTTGGACTTTGATAGCAATCAATTGCTTACTTCTGAAGAATCAAATTTCTTGCTCCATTTGTTATTGGAAATTGGATCCCAGCTCCACTGGGACAGACAGTAAGCACACATTGACCTCTTCTTTAATTCTAAACTAACCTTCAATGAACTTATCTCTGCAATGTTGCCTATCCTTTCCCTGGAAGAGCCACGAGGGTTGTCATAATACAACCTGATTTTATTTATTTATTTACTACATTTGTATACTGCCCCTCTCAGCCCGGAGGTGACTCGAGGCGGTTCACAGTTGGCAATCAATGCCCCACAAAATAAAATACAGTCAAAAACGTTACATATAATATAAAACATATAAAAGCAATAAAACAATTAAAACCATAAAGTACATGTCCTCAGCGTCTCATTGCTAAAATCATTTTCGGTCGCATCGTCCAATCGTTCCATAAGTCTCAATTAATCAGTTATACTGTGTCTTCAAATGCCTGCTCAAACAGCTAGGTTTTACCTCCCTTTCGAAATGTTAGGAGGGAGGGGGCCGATCTAATATCCCTAGGGAGGGTGTTCCATAGCTGGGGGCCACCGCTGAGAAGGCCCTGTCTCACATTCCCGCCAATCGAATCTGCGAAGAACTGGGGAAACAGAGGAGTCGTGTGCTCCCTGAGTGCTGCTCCTGTTAACACAGTGGTTCTCCACCTTCCTAATGCCATGACCCCTTAGTACAGTGCCTCATGTGGTGACCCCCAACCATAACATTATTTTCGTTGCTACTTCAGAACTGTCGTTTTGCTACTGTTATGAATCGTAATGTAAATATCTGATATGCAGGATGGATTTTCATTCATTGGACCAAGTTTGCCCCAAATACCCAATACACCCAAATTTGAATACTGGTGAGGTTGGGGGGATTGATTTTGTCATTTGGGAGTTGTAGTTGCTGAGATTTATAGTTCACCTACAATCAAAGAGTATTCTGAAGTTCACCGACAATGGAATTGAACCAAACTTGGCACACAGAACTCCCATGACCAACAGAAAACACTGGAAGGGTCTGGTGGACATTGACCTTGAATTTTTGGAGATGTAGTTCACCTACATCCAGAGAGCACTGTGGATTCAAACAATGATGAATCTGGACTAAACTTGGCAGAAATACTCAATATCCCCAAATGTGAGCACTGGTGGAGTTTGGGGAAAATAGACATCAGCGTTTGGGAGTTGTAGTTGCTGGGATTTATAGTTGACCCACAATGAAATAGCATTCTGAACCTCACCAACGATAGAAATGGACCAAACTTCCCACACAGAACCCTCATGACCAACAGAAAATACTATGTTTTCTGATGGTCTTTGGTGACCCCTCTGACACCCCCTCGCGACCCCCACAGAGGTCACGACCCCCAGGTTGAGAAACACTGTGTTAACAATTTTACCCTGGTAACGTTTCCTCATCTATAGTGTTGTGCCAGGACCCTTCCCATGAGGTCTCCATTGTATATGCCAACACCCTGAGCACCTTTTCTGTATCTAACTGGCATCCATTGTATTAACCCAAACTGGAATATTATAACCCTTTTCAACCCATAATCTCTTGCCCCACTACATTCCTTTCCAATTGCACTCCACTCCTGGGAGGATCAATAAACAGACTTAAGTCTTCAAAATAATCCAATAATAGTTAAATTAAATTTCCTGCCATGACTGGAGCCAACCAGCAATGACAGCAGACAAAGTCCCAGAACAATCAGAGAGCAGGTCCTAGTCAACCACATTTTAGACCAATCAGGGCTAGCGTAGCAATGTGCCTTTGTTTTGAAAAGCTACCAAAATGCTATAAGTATTTCTGTATGCTTGCACTGAGCTATGTCAGTCTTTGAAGCTGCGGACTCGACTGACATCCTTTTTGGCCAAGGAGAACAAAACAGATTTTGCCTTCAATCTGTCTGCATCTGATCTGGCCTTCTGGATGCTTGACAATCCAGACCCTGAAATCACATAACACTCTGATGCCTAATAAAACAAGGAAATTCAGCTGAATAAATATAGTCTCATTCAAAAAAGCAAATACAGGGGGAGGGACAGGGACAATGTTCACAGAGCCCAGTTTGGCAAAATATTGAGCAAGTGACCCACTCCTATCCTCTGAGAATTCTCCGAAATGTGCAAATTTCAGAATTCTGGTGTGCCTATACTAGGGGATTTCCCTGCTTAATTGCCTCCTAGACATTTGGATGTTTCTCTCATTTCTCCTCTGTGTGGTATCTGCTGGATTCCTGTCCATTTGCAGGCCAACATCCAACTTGCCTTTACCCTCACCCTGGAGTTGCTTAATCTATATTTATGCCATTTCCCAAAACTCAGCTGTTTCACTTGGGGTGGAGTTACCCAGCAATGAATTTCCAAAGAATACGACCAACAATTTATAGATCAGCAGAACTGCATTGGTCCTGCTACCACTGAAGTAAAGAGTGTGCCGAAGGAAGAAACCAAAATGCAGCAACTTCACCCTTTTGCCTGCATCCTTGTGGCACTTTTGGCCTTTTGGACAGGTAAGCAGGGGCGGCAGTATAGTTGATTTTGCCCAGGGGTGCTCTTGAGGTAAAATAGACCTTGACATATGCGAGTTGTAGTTACTGGGATGTATAGTTCACCTACAATCAAAGAGCATTCTGAACTCCACCAATGTTGGAATTAAACCAAATATGCCACATAGAACTCCCACGAGTAACAGAAAATATATATCAGTGATTGGTTGGGGGGGGCGCCAAAATACTATTTGCTTACCGCTAAAATTACCTAGGGCCACCTCTGCAGGTAAGCCAACATATCCTAGAAGTAATGGTGGAGCAGCTGGAGGATGCACAGTCCCCAGCAAGAATCAGTAAATATTTGAGGGCAAAAATGCTGGAAGAATTAATTCAGAAATATTTGTCTGGATGTGGAAGAATCGAAAGGGATGATAAATGCTTGTTGAAGTTCCTAGGTGTGAATGTAAGCATTTGCTGGATGATTTCTGAATGTGTGTGCTTTCAAGTCATCTGTCAACTTATTGCAACCCCTTAGAATTTCATAGGGTTTTCTCAGAAGTTAATTGCTTGTTGTTTTTCTGAAAAAGACTCTACAGCGCTTGGCGCTGACAGTGTCCCATCCATGTGCTAGTCAAGGTTGACCTTGCTTAACTTGCAAGACCAGATCAACATTTAATATCCAGCATATAGTTGTATTAAGATTGGATAATGGGTGTGTAATGGTCCCAGTCTGCTGACATACATTATATCAATACAGGTTGAGTATCACTTTTCTGAAATGCTTTGGACCAGAAGTGTTTTGAAGGTTGGCATAATTATGTTTGCATATACATACTTAAGAAAATATCTTGGAGACGAAATGTTTTGTATACAATTTATACACATGTAGTCTTGTTGTCAAGCCACGACACCCCCTCCCCAAGGAGACTCCAAGCAAAACATATGATTTTTCTTTATTTTAAAAACATTTTCCGCAGCTCCAAAGTTGCAAAATGCCAAAGATGCTAGAAGCTCCGGAATGGTCTTATCCTTTAATAAATGTTATCAACTTGATTATTTATGTGTAACTTGTATCTTTTATGTACTGTGTACATTCTTAAAGATATAAAATGTATAAATTATATCAAAGAAATGTATCAAAATGTATCTTTCTGTGCCCTCAGTTTGCATATTCCCTGGGGAACAGAGATCAGGGCCAGGATCCCTCGAGTTATTTTTGTTTTTATAGTATTTATTTTCTGTCATTACCACGCAGGGGACTCATGGCAGATTATAATACACATATACACAGCAAACATTCGATGCCATTTAGACATACAACATATGTAGACAGATGCAGAGGCAATTTAACATTCCGGCTTCATGAGGGTATGCTCGTTTCCGGCCACAGGGGGAGCTGCCCTTTCACCGTCCACTTGTGACACCCAGTCCTTGATGGAGTACTTCCTCATTCTTGCGCATGCTGCTGGAAGGTTTTATGGTGTCATAAATTAGTTAAATTAGCTTCCTCGCATAAAACGGTACTTAAATTTCCTACTTCACAGATGCAACTGTATTTCGGGCTGCATAGGTCACCAGCAAGCTAGACAATTAATGGTTGAGAGCTCACTCCGACACAGGCTGGCTTCGAACTCATGACCTCTCGGTCAGTAATAATTTAATGCAGCTGTCTACTATTTCCCAAGTTAGATAATATCAAGATCTTTGTGTATATCTTCTTTAGAAAAGAATGAGTTCAGGATGTTTGCCTATTCAGTTCAGGATGACAGTATGCCATTCCTGTAGAAGAGGTGGTTCAGCAAACATGAATTCGTTAACTTTCTAAATGGGCAGCCAAACCAATTTTCCAATGATCAGGACCAGGGCCATAGCCAGGGGGAGGGGATTAAGGGTTCTAACCCCCCCCCCCCGGAAACCCGGCTTACTCAGTTTAAACTGGTTAACCAAGTTATGAGTATACCAGGTGTCTTTTTTAACCTGACACATTTCAGGGCAGGGTTAAATGTTTAAATCCCCTCCCCCCACCGGCTATGGCCCTGATCAGGACATGTCAATATTGTGCAATCTCTTTCCACTGTATGTGGCGATAGAAAGACGAATTTCAGATTCTTGATTCTGAAATTGATTCAAATGTGTGCAGAAGACTAAATTCTCACCCTACACTGTATCATATAAAAAGAGGGGTTTTTGACTGCAACACTTAAAGACTTCAAACTGAATGAAGGCTGCTTGAATTTTCTCACAGCTACTGCAACTGAAGAAATGAAAATGCACACCCCCAGAAACACACGAAGCCCTCTGACCAGGCCTGTAGCGAGGGGGGGGGGGTTAGGGGTTCAAACCCCCCCCCCCCGAAATGTTTCAGATTTTTATATGAATTTTAACTGGTTAACCAAATCCCCATGCAAAGTCTATGAAATGCAAATAATCAAGAGTCCCTCCAGAACTGCAAGCACTATCTCAAGCAAATATTAGCAATTTATTCACAGTCATTACCTTCAGCAATAGCCGATGTAGTTGTTCTGGTACAGCTGTACCAGGAGCTCCAACTTTATTTGCTTTGTATTAAATGTTTGCTTGCAGTCCTAGGTTTCAGGGACTCTGCAGATAGGTGGCTTCTTTGGTTGCAGTCATAGGGCAAGTCACCTGTCCATCATTGTTAAGTTTTGGTCCCGCCCCTTGCTCAGGCAATTGGGAAGGGAAGGGAGCCATTTTTAGTTAGTCTCAGCAAGGTAAGCTTATGTATAGGATGTGTGCAAGCTTCCCCTGTACAAAAGCTTCAACCCTTAAGACCTTCCGGGGGAGAAAGGTCTTAAGAGTCTCCAAAGAATTTCCAGGAAAACAGCCCTAAAGACCAAAGAACTCCAGCTGGAGAACATCTACTGCCTTGCTGGTAGGTCCACTCAGCGTTCGAGACGCAGTTCGACCCGGTAGCGGAGCCCACATCAGTAAGGGTTAGATTACAGTCAGCCTGGGAGAAGTTAAAAAGGGGATTTTCCTTTAAAGAAGAAGTTATTGAAGACAGTTGCCTGTCCTTCGTGGGCAAGATTAGGAATTCACCAGTTGCCTAAAAGCTTGGAATCATTTGCTTAACTTTACTTAAGACAAGAGAAGTTTCTGTTTGATTGTTCATTAATAAAAGACTTTGTTGTACTTCTCAAGCCATCTAAAGACTGTTTGTGGTGGAAACCTCTGAGAACTTCTCTTTAGGCCCCCTGGCTTCCCACTGGGCAAAGGTTGCACATCCTGTTCTAAAGACAATTATTTACAGGCCCAGCGCGCGACAGAATGGTAGTGAAGTAACCAAGTTGGGGGAGGGGGTGTTGAATGCTCTCATTAATGCTCTCATCATGTTGAATGCTCTCATCATGTTTAGTTTGGAAAAGGAAGAGAGGTGACTTGATAGCTATGTTTAAATTTTTCAAAGGCTGTCACAATTCTAGAGACTTCATCACACTACAGAATGAATCCACTTTAATGTATTGTCGAAGCAGGGGCGGCTTGTCCATTACGCGAAGTAAGCGGTCACAGAAAATTTTTTTTGCCAGGGGCGCAGAGGGGCGAGAGCTCCTCGACCACCACTTGAGGAGCACCCCTTCAGCTCACAACAGCCCTAGCAGTCTGGGGGGAGCCTCGGCTTTCTTGCCTCGCTGCCGGGCGATCCTCTTCCCAAAGGGGCCGGGCCCTTGAGCCTCGCCTAGCCCCTCTTGTTCTTGCTCCACCCGGCCACCGGGTGCGTGAGCAGAGCCAGCGCTCAATCATTCTCCGCGTTCGATCCCTTCCCCATGATTGGCTCCCTTTCCCGATCCCCTGGCGCTCCACCCGCCTCCTCTCCTTTCCCCAATCCGTGGGTGGGCCAAGGGGCGGAGCCGCCGTGCCTGGCCCGCTTCAGGTCTGGAGGCGTGTCTGAAGACCCCAGCATGTGCACCAAAAGTGGCCTCTTCTCCTGACTTTCTCTTCAGCCATTGGGACCAAGAGAGAGAGAGAGGGAGAGCCCTCTGTGTCGAAGGCTTTCATGGCTGGAATCACTGGGTTGTTGTAGGTTTTTGGGCTGTATTGCCATGTTCTTGAAGCATTCTTTCCTGATGTTTCTCCTGCATCTGTGGCAAGCATCCTCAGAGTTTGCTTGCCACAGATGAAGGCAAAACATCAGAAGAGAATGCTCCTAGAACATGGCCATATAGCCCAAAAAACCTACAACGTCAAGTGTATTCTTGCATGGCATCATCATCATACAATTCATCATAGGCTATCACTCATGGCTGAGTACGATTGTCTTCCAAGGGTAGAGTTTTGGTGTTGGGTCCATAAGTGACTGTAGGAACCTATGAACTGGATGGTATTGTGTCTCTTTTAATTTTGTGATTGTATTCTAAGTAGACTTAAACTGTACAGGTTAAGCTGCTAGTTGTACATGGATGACTTTCTTAAAAGAAACCACGTTTTATCTAAAACAGAAGAAAGAGTAACTTGGTGGCAGGTTTGGCGGTCTGGATTTCATGCGTTTCTAATGTGACAAGAGAATAGGCAGTCCACCTGGAGAAATGTCTACTCTATATAGGACTATGAATGGACTGTGGTTTGTTGGATGTGATGTATTTTCAACTTTCTACTATATTCCCCCCCCCCCCCCAGATACAACTGATGCTGTTACCTGTGATCCTGAAACAGCCGCGATTATAGGTGGCAACTATACTGTGTTGGAAAATGGCTCACTGTTGCTATACAGTTGCCCAGTTGGACAGTACCCATACCCTACGGAGTTCCGGCATTGCGGGTTTAATGGGAAGTGGAGCCCCATGCGAAAACCAAATCGCGCCGCCATCCACCAAGCCAAGTGCTACGGTATGAAAAGACACTTGTTGCCTTCTAAATAGAGGGTTCCTGCCTATCATGGTGGCCTGGAAGCAGTATTTCAATTAGTTAAGGTTTCAGGGAACCACCAGTTCTCGAAGACTTAGGAGTTCTCAAGCAAAATAATAATAATAATAATAATAATAATACACTGACAAAATTAAGATCTGTCAACTGCAAAAGGCCACCTTACTTGGATCTGCACGCATCATTCAAAAATACACCACACAGTCCTAGACACTTGGGAAGTGTTTGACTTGTGATTTTGTGATACGAAATCCAGCATATAGATCTCGTTTGCTATGATGTACTGTGCTAATAATAATAATAATAATAATAATAATAATAATAATAATAATAATGAAATTTCTTTATTTATGGTTTTTCATTTTCATGGTGGTCTTGTGCCTCAGGTGGCTCCTCAGCCAGTCATTGTAGTGTTGCCCATCTGATGACAACATTGTGAGAAGGATGCAGTTAATCACTAAAGATGCATATATTTCTTAGAGCAATTAACAAATAGCACCAAACATCTAAATTCACAAAATGTTCTGGTATCTGACTCGTTCACTTGCCAAAAATGAAAGTGAGTAGGGATCAAGGTGGCAGTTTAGAACTTTACCTGTCTTTAGATCAGGCATGGGAAACTTTTGGTCCTCCGGGTGTTTTGGACTTCTACTCCCACAATTCCTAACACCTTACTGGTCCAAAACACCTGGAGGACCAAAGTCTGCCCATGCCTGCTTTAGATGGTTGTTAAGAAAGCTTAAACAGCTGGATCCATATAGGATGTATGTTGTTTTAGGAGAAACAACCAAGGAAGCAACACTTTTGACAGGTTAGTCCTGGATTCCAGAAAGGTGCAGTAAATCACTAATAATGTATTTTAGGGTTATTAAAAATAGAACAGTATCAATAAATTAACAAATGTTTCAGCTATATGAATTCATAAGCTGCAGAATGTCAAACATGTAGGTTGACTATTGTTGAGGCCTGTGAAGCCTCTGAGGATGAGGATGGGGATTTTCTGTTTGAGCCTGGTGTTTCTGTGCTGGAAAGCAAAAGTGTTTTTGAGACGATGGGAATGTTTTGGGTAGATCTGTTGTTGGGGAAGCAGGCAGTGATTCTCATGAGAATTGGCCAGGGATTTATTCCAAAAGGAATGTGGAGGAGACAGGAGAGTTACAGATAATCTAGCATTTACAGCTCAGAAGGGATAGTACGAAACAGAAACAAATTTGTTGTTCCCAGAGGCTGAAAGATAAAGAAAGGAAACCCAGGTGTGAGAAAGAGTGATGTCACAGACAAGAGGGAGTATTCTTAAGGGATTGGAGTCAATGTTCAGTGGGGAGATCAATATTGGATTTTTGTGTGTCAAGTGACCTCGCTTGGGAGCTTTGAGTCAGGAGTTCTATTTTTGGGTCTGTATCTTGTTTTCCTGTTTAAATTCCATGCCTCCTGTTTGGATTACAAATCTTGTTTCAAGTTTCAAGTCTTTGGGATTATAGTCAAGTATCCAGCCTTTGGATTATGCACATGTTCATGTTTTTTGGATATAATTCTAATTTAAGTGCAACAATCCTTGGATTACAGCTTCCTGCTTTTGCCTTTTGAATTCATATTCAAAGTTGGCTAGCTCATGGATGAAATTTTGAAACTGCTTTTACATACTTGGTTTTGCTGGTACTTAAGTTAATGCTTAGTCCGCTTATTTTGAGTGCTATTTTGAAACTGCTTTTTATATTGCTCTTTTCTTAATAAATTTATTGTTGTTGATCTGTGTGGTGTTTGGATGAAAAAGGGATCAAGCAGTCAGCTGGTCTACAACAGCCATGGTGTAAAATAGATAGACCTTTGGTCTTATCTAGCAGGACCTTTCTTGATATCAGAAAATACTTTTTCTGCAGAACACTAAGAGACAAACTGTGGTAAGGGATACCTTATGAGACTAGCCAAAACTGCAGGCTGAAAGCTAAATCTCTCCCTTTCTGACACTGGCCCTTTATTCCAGACATCCGTTGCCAAAGACCTTTGGATTTTGAAAATGGCATGTATGAGCCAAGGCAGTTCTACTACAATGTAAGCCAGGAGCTGACATTCGAGTGCTATGGAGGATACATATTGCGAGGATCTCAGAAGCGCACCTGTCTCCCAAATGGAAAGTGGAGTGGAGAGACAACTATATGTGATGACGGAGGTGAGATTGTTCTACAAGGTCTTCCTCCTTTGGAGAGACATAGGCAATAAAAGTTATCGTTGTGTCCATCAGTTGACCACATTCATTGGCAAACTGCAATATGTACAGATAAGGGAAGCCTATTCCACTGCCAAACAGCTCTTACCACCAGGAAGTTCTTCCTAATGTTTAGGTGGAATTTCTTTTCCTGTAATTTGAATCCATGTCTAGTCTCAGAAGCAGTGGAAAACAAGCCTGCAGCATCTTTAAGAAACAAAACTAGAATCAATAAAATTAAGCTTGAACAATTTAATGAATTTTGTTTTTCTGTAAAATAATATTGACAGAGTGCGCCAGCGCAAGACCTGGAATCTTTGCATGTCAAATAGTCTCTGTCTTCTGCAAGTCAAGATATTCTTTGCAAGAGCTCAATTGTGAATCAGTTAAGACTGTTTCTCAACCTGGGGGTCAGGACCCCTGGGGGCGGTTGTGAGGGGGTATCGGAGGGGTAACCAAAGACTATCAGAAAACACAGTATTTTCTGTTGGTCATGGGGGTTCTGTGTGGGAAGTTTTCCCCAATGCTATCGTCGGTGGGGTTCAGAGTAATCTTTTGATTGTAGATGAACTATAAATCCCAGCAACAACAACTCCCAAATGTCAAGTCTATTTTCCCCAGGAATCCCACCAGTGTTCACATTTGGGCATACTGAGTATTTGTGCCAAGTTTGGTCCAGATCCATCATTGCTTGAGTCTGCAGTGCTCTCTGGATGTAGGTGAACTACAACTCCCAAACTCAAGGTCAATGCCCACCAAACTCTTCCAGTGTTTTCTGTTGGCCATGGGAGTTCTGTGTGCCAAGTTTGGTTCAATTCCATTGTTGGTGGAGTTCAGAATGCTCTTTGATTGTAGGTGAACTATAAATCCCAACTTCCAAATGACAAAATCAATCTCTCCTCCAACCCCACCAGTATTCAAATTTGGGCGTATTGGGTATTTGTGTCAAATTTGGTCCAGTGAATGAAAATACATCTTGATTATCAGACGTTTACATTGCAGTTCTTAACAGTAGCAAAATTATAGTTATGAAATAGCAACGAAAGTAATGTTATAGTTGGGGGTCACCACAACATGAGGAACTGTATTAAGGGGTCATGGCATTAGGAAGGTTGAGAACCACTGAATTAAGAGAATGCAGTTGATGTTCAGCTTGACAATACTGAATTGAAGCATCCTAACTGTATTTGTTTACCCCATTGCATGAATTAGAAAATATAGGTGACTGGGATAACAAAGATTATCAGTAGTTGGAGTCTCACCAATGGGAGGCTTACAAAAAAAGTCTGATTTATTTTCATACACCATCCAATATTTACTTTTAAAATGTCATTGAACGTTCCATCATTGTTTCCCACACAGCTGGTCACTGTCCCAACCCTGGTATCCCAATTGGTGCCCGAAAAGCTGGCACGCAATACAGGATTGAATACAAAGTCCAATACACCTGTGAAAGAGGCCTCTCTCTTGTGGGATCCAAAGAGCGGGTTTGCCAAGAGTCAGGAATGTGGAGTGGAGCAGAGCCGGAATGTCGAAGTAAGCAAATTGGTTTGAGTGACAGGTGGGAGGACTCTGGAGTTGGCATGCTGGAAATTATGCTTGAGATTTTGAATAACCTTAGCTGTCATCAGGAGAATATTGGACTAAATGGACAAACCTACACACCTGGCATGTTCATATAGATTTGTGGGGAACCTGTTGGGAGTTAGCGTTTCCCACAATGTTAGCCCTTTTTGGGGAAAGTATGAAAATTAAAACCGTTAAATATTAACCATTATTTAGCAGATGAAACATGTCTCAATTTCTCTGTTGCTTTCCAAAATCCTCTTCTTGACTCCAAAAAAACCCAAGGTAGGCAGTTATAGGTTACGTCTTAAAGTTTATTAATATCTTTGCATTTACATGTGCATGGGGAACCAACATCCTAACTAATAACTGAAACAATTAGAAATATAGTCTTTATTCTTAACACCTTTCAATGGAGGAGGAAAAATATGGTTGAGACTAGAGGAGAAGAGCAGAGCGAGCGATCAGAAGAGAGACGAGACTGAGAATATATAACCAAAGGCCCCAAGAAAGTGTCCAGAGTCACTTGGCCTATTTGAAAAGTATTAAATGACCATGCGTTTCAAAGAATAGGAAGATGTGGGGCTTAGATGAGAGAAATAAACAGAATGATTGTTTATTATTTATAACATTTATATTCCGCCCTTCTCATCCCGAAGGGGACTCAGGGCAGAGCACAACATATATACAGCAAGCATGCCAGGACTTAAAATAATTATAAATATACACAGACATTGAAATCACTTATATCTGTTCTAAAATCAGCTGTTTAAAACCATCTAAAGACAGCATACTGGCTCTGATCAGCGGAGTAGGTTTCCTATTATTGCCTCATTCACTGTCCCAAAGGCTTGGTCCCACAGCCAGGCCCTTACCATCTTTCTGAAGGGCAGCAAGGAGGGGGCTTATCTAATCTCGATCGGGAGGGAGTTCCATAGCCAAGGGGCAATCACTAAGAAGCCCCTCTCTCTTGTCTCCACCAAACGTGCCTGTGACGGTGGCAGGACTGAGAGCAGGTCCTCCCCGGAATATTTTAGTCTTCACAGTGGTTTGTAGAGGGAGATGTGTTCGGACAGGTAAACTTGGCTGGGGCCGTTTAGGGCTTTATAGGCCATAGCCAGCACTCTGAATTGTGCCTGGTAGCAAACTGGCAGTCAGTGGAGCTGATGTAACATGGGAGTTGTGTGCTCCCTGTATGCTGCCCCAGTTATTAACCTGGCTGCCTCTCATTGGACCATTTGAAGCTTCCAAACAGTCTTCAAAGGTAACCCCATGTAGAGTGTATTACAGTAGTCTGTCCTGGATGTAACGAGACCGTGGACCACCATGGCCAAGTCTGACTTCCCAAAGTATTGACACAACTGGCACACAAGTTTTAATTGTGTGAAAGCCCCCCTAGCCACTGCTGCAACCTGAGGTTCCAGCCTCTGCGATGAGTCCAGGAGGACTCCCAAGCTGCGAACCTGCACCTTCAAGGGGAGTGTAACCCCGTCCAGCACAGGCTGTAACCCCATACCCTGTTTGGTCTGACATGCAAGAAATCCTATTCTATCTAAAATCCAGCGAGAGGCAAGAGGTGAGTATACTGAAATTTTTCAACAGAACTAGGTGGATTTGTCAGCAATTGAAATAAAATAGGGAAATGGAAGGAGGAAAGATGAACAGGGACAAATTTAAAGTAGCTGTAAATATGGGACAAGGAGGATTAAACTGCATCACCCATGATAAATGGGGACAGTTGCAAGATATGATCTTGGAATCCAGAGGTGTCCAAAGGATATCTGGAACAAATGTTTTACGCTTCAGGCAAAGAAAGGTTGCGCTTCAGATAAGCAGCAGGCTGTCTCCTGCTCTGGTCCAAACTTTGGCAAAGTTAACTTGTTTTGTGTGTATTAACTCCCAAAAGCCACCAGCCAGCATGGCCAGTTCTTGTGCTTGTATTGCTAATTCTGCCTCCATATTTTCCTTTCCAGGCCCATACAGCTTTGACACCCCAGAAGAAGTCTCCTCCAAGTTCATTTCATCCCTCACTGAAACTGTTGAGTCCATCGATTCTGATAAAAATGTTTGTAAGTAGTTTTTATGAGTGGGGCTTCATACAAGGGAGACTCTTTTGAAAGCCCTTGGTAGACAGTGCTGCTGCTGCTGCTGTTGTTGTTGTTGTTGTTGTTGTTATTGTTGTTGTGTCCCTTCAGGACCTTTCTGATTTATGAGTGCTCTATCATAGGAAGGGTGTTGGGGGGGGGGGGTTGTTGTGGCAAGATTTGTTTGTGGAGGTGCTTTTGCCTTCCTCTGAGGCTGAGAGAGCATGACTTGTGCAATGACACTCAAATGCCATGACTGACTGAATTTTGGCTGTTTGTAGGTGCTTTTTGGGGGGAGTAGAGGGAAACGAAAACTTTTGCCAACATAAATTGTTTTGATACCTTCTGCTAATTTGAGATACTTTAGGCAGGTTTGGCAGACATAACATAATTGTTGGGGTCCCATGCCATGTATAGACCACATTTTCTTCTCTGTTGATATACATGCTGGACAATGCTGAGAAATCCTCCACTCTGCCCCATTTTTTTTCCTCCACAGCCACTACAGGGAAGCGCAAAATCAAGATCGAGAAGGACAGCTCACTGAACATCTACATTGTCATTGATTCCTCGCGGAGCATTAAGCAGGACCAATTCAAGGAAGCTCAGAATATGTCCGTCAAGTTAATTGAGAAGGTATGGACAGTTCTGCAGACATTCTTTCTGGCTTGAGCACGACTCTCAGAACGGAGTCAAAAGGCAGCCCTTATGATTTGAACAAGATTGCTCTCACCTTGGAAATAATAATAATAATAATAATAATAATAATAATAATGTTATTTGTTACCCATTTCTCCTTGTGGTTCAAGGTGGGATACAAATGGCTGGTAGGCTGTTAGGAATTATGGAAGTTGAAGTCCAAAACACGTGGACGGCCGAAGTTTGCCCATGCCTGATCTACACTGTAGAAAATATATAGTTTGACACCATTTTAACTGCTATGGCTGAATGGTTTGGAATCAACACTCTTCATCTGACAAAGCTAAAGATCTTGTCAAATTGCAATTCCCACATAATATCATAACATTTAGCCATGGCAGTTGAAGTGGTATCAAACTATATTCTTTCTACAGTGTAGATGTATCTCCAGACACATCTTGTTTTTTGGGGGGAAGGACCTGTCTTTGACCTAAAATGGCCCAAAGGGTGTGAAAACATGGCCCAAATGTCCCTCATAGCATCAAAAGGGATTGAGGACAATAACTATGGGGTGCTCTTTTTTGCAGTGAAGGACTGTGATGAGGATGTGTGCCTAAGCCTAATGTGGCTTCCTACTTGCCCAAAGTGGCCCACCCCTGCTCTACATCTTTAATATTAGAAGGTACAATGGCCAAGTCCATTGCCACATAAAGGAGAGTGTGCCCCTGAGCATGTTCTTGGCCTCCTTCTGCAGATCTCCAGCTATGACATCTCTCCCAAGTATGGTGTGGTCACCTTTGCGACCGAAGTCAAGGAGCTTGTCCTTACCACAGATGAACGGAGCAGCGATGCAGCCTGGGTGATTGAGAAACTAGAGGGGATCAAATATTCAGGTAAGGCATCTTTTCCAGCTCTGGTGGTAGTTGTCAAGATGGAGAAGGAGAAGGGAAACCAGAAGGGATTTGCAACATAATAATAAAAATGTAGTTCAGCGACCCCTTCTCTTTAATTGAGTGAAAGTACAGGATTGCTGCAGAAGTGAAAAACTGTGAGGACACCTCTCTTGCAATTTCTAGGTTCTCTAAGATGTTATCACATTGGGTTATACTCTGTTGTTGAGCTCTAGCAAAGGGTCGTGGTGCTGGAGCTTGAGCACCTCAATGATGCCACAAGTAAAAACCGTGAAGGGACACCCAAGACGGGATGGTCATGGCAGAGAGGTCAGACCAAACGTGATCCCTGGGGAAGGTAATGGCAACCCACCCAAGTATTCTTGCCAAGAAAACTAAATGCATCAGTACAACCAGAGATATGTCGGTATGCCATTGGAAGATGGGACTCCCAGGTCAGAAAATGATACTGGGGAGGAGCAGAGGATAAGGGAGCTCTGGTGTGGGCTGGTCCATGAGGTCACGAAGAGTCGGAAGCGACTGAACAAATAAACAACAACACTGTTGTTGAGATTCTTTGAACACAATTCCGAACAGGTCCAATCACATGACATTTGCCCAATTCCATCAGTAATCTGTCGGAATCTGTTTGCAAAAACATAGCAGAAACAGAGGAATTGCACACAGGATTCTATTTGTGGGTTTTAAAAAATTATTATTTACTATGATTTTATATGCTGCTGAGCCACTATTATTATGTATGACTAGCTGTCTCCTGCCACGTGTTGCTGTGGCCCACATAGGAGTTCTGTATGGTTTGGCCCAATTCTATCATTGGTGGGGTTCAGAATGCTCTGTGATTGTAGGTGAACTATAAATCTCAGCAACTACAACTCCCAAATGACAAAATCAATTTTTTTTGAGTGAAGGACATACATTGGGTAGTTAGGTGTCTTGTGTCCAAATTTGGTGTCAATTCATCCAGTGGTTTTTGAGTTCTGTTAATTCCACAAACGAACATTACATTTTTATTTATATAGATTGGAAGATCAGTATGTGCCCCATCAGTTACAATCTCGCAAGAACAATAGTCGGAGATTTTCAGCCTACGTCACTGTGCAATATTAGGGGAAAACATTTTAAAAGTGACATAGAGAAGATTGGGAAGAGCCCACCTTCTATGGTGAGATGAGACAAAGCACAGTAGTTTCAAAATGTAAGAATGGAGTGTGATGGAGAGAGTATGCATCTCATCCAAATACAGTATGCATCCACTCCTAAAAAAAACTGGGACTCGGAAGGACAGCTGTGAAGGAACTTCAAAAGATCCTCAGGTGTGAAGATATGTCACTGAATACCATGGCCATTGAACTGGTATCAAACTGCATTAATTTCACAGTGCAGATGTACCTGATGATGATTTTTCTTCTCCCATCTTCAGATCACAAACAGAAGCCAGGGACCAACATCCACAAAGGCCTTACTGCTGTCTACACAATGATGATCAGCCAGGAAGCAGCGGAAAGGAGGCGAGGGTTGAATCCTCCTCCAGTGTTAGAGAAGACTCGCCATGTTATTGTCCTCCTGAGTGATGGTAAGATCCTAAGGAGAGAGAAAAAAACAAGCCCTGGGATCATCCTAAGAGGATGTGGCTGTTTTTGGAATCAGCAGATCAAATATATCCAGAAACAGGGCTAACATTTGAGGCACCAAAATGTGTATTGACTAGTGTCAATATATTGCGCTTTTTCGCCATCCTTCTCTTCCTCTCTCCTTTTCTGCAGGTGACTACAACATGGGTGGTGACCCAACATCTGTCATCAAACAAATCAGGGGTTTCCTCCACATTGGAATTAATCACACCAATCCCCGAGAGGACTACTTAGGTAAGCTAAGATATGGTGACAGAGTGGGTTGGGTGGGTGCTGTCTGACTGGTATGATGACGGTAAGTACTGGATGGACATCTCTCCCAGGTTACTCTTTGAACATATTTTCCTTGTACAGTGAGCCCTGCATATGTGGAAGCCTTGGATTTGTAGATTCCACAAGTCACAGACTGTAAAAATAATGTTGAAATATACAGTATTCAAAAAAATTCAACAAAAAGCAGCATGGGACATCTCACCTCTCTTCCACTGGTGGCCAACTATGATGAGTTTTATGGGAGCAAAGTCAGTTATGTGAGTGTATGTCTTCAAGTCACCTATCAAATTATGATGATCCTATACATTTCATAGGGCTTTCTTAGGCAAGGACTCCCCAGAGATGGTTTTGCTAGTTCCTTCCTCTGAAATTTAGCCCACAGCACTTGATATTTGTTGGCTGTCTCTCATCAATGGACTAAACAAAGCTGATCTTTCCTTCAAGAACAGATGGAATCTGGTGCCTTTAAGGTGTTTAGATCCTAGGGATTTGCAGGTCAGTTAGCCAATTTGATCAAAAAGATAAATTCCATAGCTACAAGTCTGATGCGAAATATAATAATTATTATAAAGATTTTAACTCCATGGTGATTTTGCTATTGGAAACTGATAAATGTAATTATTTATGCAGTCAGATCATTGGAAAAGCTATTGTGATATGAAAAGATTTTATTGCAGTAGTACAATTTGAATTCCCTTCTCCTTTGTCCATATCACTTTTGCCTTATTTATTTATTCAGGATCCTTAGAATTTCTCTACTAACCTATGTTTTCATCCACACTTGCATGTAGATGTTTACATCTTCGCTGTTGGGGGCACAGTCAACATGGAAAACGTGAATAAGATTGCATCTCAAAAGAGTGGTGAGAGGCATGCCTTCAAACTAAAAGACTACAATGACCTCCAGGTGGCTTTTGACGAGATGATCGGTAATAAGAACCTATATTTTCACTAATGTTGTGCTTTATTTGCTGTGACTCTGATGCCAAGCCCTAAGAGGAGAAGCTTAGGGAGCTGGGAACGTTTAGCTTGAAGAAGAGGTTAAGAGGGGACATGATAGCCATGTTTCAATATTGGAAAGATGTCATATTGATGAGGGAGCAAGCTTGTTTTCTGCTGCTCCAGAGACCATGAATTCCAACTGCAGAAAAAATATATTCCTCCTAAACCTTAAGAAAAATGTCTTGATGTAAAAACTGCTCAGCAGTGGAATATGCTGCCTCCTCAGAGCATGGTGGAATCTCCTTCATTGGAGGTTTTTAAGCAGAGGCTGGGTAGCCATCTGTCTGAGGTGACTTGATTGTGTTTTCCTGCCTAGCAGAAGGGGGTTGGACTGGTTGGTCCTTGGGGTCTCTTCCAACTCTATGAATCATCTAGATTCTAACCAGCCTTCATTTAAAGGCAGCCAGGAAACACCTTTGGGCCACTGGAAGAAATAGCTATCTCCTCTCTGTGGAAAGCGAGCTCCAAGACTTGGTCTTGTTTTCTGCACCACTGGAACTGGAACCAGACCAGTCATTTGCACCTCCCTGTGTCCATCCTAGTTTTGTTGATCTCTACATCTGGTCTGCTAGTTATCCTGCAGTTTTTCTCCTGGCCACTATGGGAAGCAGGATAGTGGATGTAGGTAGAGTTTAGCCTTTGAATCTCACTGGTGGAGAAATGTTAGAGGATGGTTCTTTCTCTCATGGTCTACTTATAGACATCCTTGTTGGATCCCACTTGCTGATCACTATGGAAAACTAAAAACTAGATGAGATGGGCCTTTGGCTTAATCCCATCTGGGTTCTTATGTTCTTCTGATGTTTATCCTGATGTTTTATGGAAGCAGAGTTAGCTGTATCTGTGTGTATGTATGCCTTCAATTTACCTGTCAACTTATGGTGACATCATTGACTTCATAGGGTTTTCTTAGACAAGGAATCCTCAAAGGAGATTTTGCCAGTTCCTTCCTCTGAAATAGGGTCTACAGCACCCGATATTCATTGGCTATCTCCCATCCAAGTCTTAACCAAGGCTGACCCGTTTAGCTTCCAAGATCATATGGGAGTTTGTACCTTTAGGGCAGCGATGGTGAACCTTTTAGGGTCTCCATTGCTTTAGTTCTGCAAAGTCAGCTAGACAGTTTGATGCATTCTGTCACCACAAGTTTAATGCTAGATGCAGGTATTATTTAAAAGAGTTGAACTCACCACTGACTGTTGCTGCTGGAAACTTCTGGCATCCTTTATGCAGCTAGTTCCAGTTTTTTTTCCTTATATACTGTACTCTATCCACTGACCAATATCAGTTTGGTTATCAGTTTGGTTATTTTTCTCCCAGGAGCTTTTTGCTTGCTCTCTCCATGGACCTCATCCCACTGAACAGATCAAGTGTTTGCATTCCTCATAAAATTGGATGGAAACCATCTCTCTGCTTTTCTAGGGAAAGACATCCTCTAGTTTTTTAAGGGATGCTCCAAATTTCAGCAGCTCTTAAATATATCTTCCTGTTCCTAGATGAGAGTGAGACTTTGTCCATGTGTGGTTTGGCCAAGGAACACAAAACGCCAGACTACCAACTGAGGAACCCCTGGTACACCACAATCGCCATCCGGGTAAGATTGAGACCCTTTGAGTAGAAGCTGAACCAGTTGCCTTCTTTGTGCTCATAGCTTCCTTTTCTCCTGATAGGCAGGGAAAGGAGGAAGCAAGCTTTGGCTCCTTCGCAACTCCAGTGCTTATTTCCTATCCACCTTCTGCACAGGTCCTTTAGAGCACTACTTATTAAACTGTGGGTCCCAATCTCAAACAAGGTCCCTTTAGCTCAATGTTGGGGGTCACAAAAATTGTCAACAGTAGAAAGCTTGTAAACATTACCCACTTGAACAAATCTGTTAGCAACAATGTGCAGTGTTTACAGTGGAGTCCACAGAAAAAAGGTTCAGTTGTACTCCACAAAAAGGAAAATCAGCCTGTTTAGCAAACCTTGCAAATACTGATTTATTTTCAGTAAATGTTTGGGTTTTTTATACCTATTTTATGTATCTATATATCTTGGGTTGTGTTTAACATTTATTGGGCTGAAAGTCATAGTGAGTAGAAAAAAATAAGAAACCCTGCTTTCAAGCAGAAGTTAGATTACAGAACACAGAATGGGATGATAATGATAATAATGATGATACTTTCTTTTTTATCCATCTCTCTCGAACATTGGATGTGAGGTACAACGTAGTGTTAAATATAGAATAGATAACTAAAAAGATGAAAAAGTTTAAAACAGATTAAAAACAGTTATAAATATATGATTCGAACTGGGTAAGCCTACTGAGGAGATAAATCTTTAATAATTATTTTTTAAATATTCAAAATGTTGAGTCTCTTCCAACAGTTTATCGCACAGTTTAGGGGTTTCTTTCCATTGACCATCCACACTGCAAAATTAATGCAGTTCAACACTACTTTAAATGCTATGGCTCCATCCTATGGAAATTCTGGGATTTGTAAGCTGTTATGGAATCAGAGCTGCAAATCCCAGAATTCCAAAACACTGAGCCATGGCAATTAATGTGGTATCAAACTGCTATAATTCTACTGTGCAGATACAGCCATAGACTATAGTCTTCTTCAGGACTGTCACGCCTTACAGAAAATAGAACGGAAACCAAGAAACAATACTATTCAGCAAGCCATGATAGATGGAATTTGACACATTTTAAGGAGCCAGGTCTTCTGCGACTTTAATATATGGTACAAAGCAAACAGAAAAAAGTTCTTCATTCTTGATTCTATCTGTTAGGAGAGAGGAGGAATTCATGTTTTACATTTCCGCCAACACTGGAAATGTTGATTGCTCCAACAACAAGAACAACAACATTTTTATTTCTTACCCGCCTCTCCTTGTGGCTCGAGGCAGTCTGGAGTGTCCATCTTATGCTCATATGGGAGAAGTCAAGAATGTAATAGGATGTTTTCGTCCTGAGTAAACATGCACAGAATTGCATTTGTATCCAGTCTGTGGCTATTCAACCATTTTCTATTACTTTTCTCTTCCAAACTGAAGCGTTCAGGTGGTGCATATGAGCACTGCAAAGGAGCCCTTGTTTCCAAATACTATGTCCTGACTGCAGCCCATTGCTTCACTATCGATGATGAAGCCGATCAGATCACTGTCTACGTCGGTAAGCAACCATATTCCAAGATAAGGACAGAGACAGTGATGGGATTGGGGATATAAAACTGGTCTAGCTTGCTCTTGGACCTTTAACCATTTCTCAACGAGTAGAAACCGGTGATATTCCATGATATATATTAGAGGCGGACCACTTTGGTCCAATTTTTACCACCTTACCTTCTGCCACCTGTATAAAAGTGTGACTTTTTCATGCTATGCAATGGTCCTCGTTGGACTTGGTTTCCAAACTCTTGATCATTTTGGTTGCCCTTCTCTGGACACTTTCTAGCTTGTCCAGATCCTTCTTGAATTGTGGTGCCAGAACTGGACACAGTGCCATTCCAGGTGAGGTCTGACCATGGCAGAAAAGAAGGACTATGACTGATCTCAACACTTTATTCCTATTGCACAGGCTTGAATCACATTGGCTTTTTTAACTGCTGCATCACGCTGTTGACGCATGTTCAGCTTGTGATCTACGAAGACTTCTAAATCCATTTTCAAGCCAGATGCCACAAAATGTTTTAGTTGTTCACATGCTCCAGATTCTGTTGGTTTTGCTGGCTGCCTACCGTGAGGTTTTTAGATAATAGTAATAGTAATAATAGTAATAATAATAATAAGCTTTATTTATATCCCACCCCCTATCCCTGAAGGGACTCGGGGCAGCTTACAGTAAAACAAATGAATACAATAAGTAACAGAACATGGACAATAATCACACATCAATTAATAAAAAAATATAACACAAGAATTGTAACTGTGTTCATGTCTGTGGATGTCTTACAGAGAATGCCTAATTTTTACCTTCTTCTCCAGGAAGGACACAATATAGTGTGGCTGCCCTCTACTCACATCCAAAGTATCAGATTGGGAAGCTACGGGATCGTGGAATCCCTGAATTCTATGATTACGATGTTGCTCTAGTAAAACTTGCCGCCAGCGTCAGATTCTCGGCTCTTGCAAGGTGAGAGGGAAAGGGAAGAAACAAGAAAGTAACAAGGTGTATTATGTTTATGTTAAATGGACTAATGTGGACTAACAAGGCCCAATTGTTATATTTTCCAAATGTAATAATAATAATAATAATAATATAGTAAAATAATAAATGTAAAAAATAATAGTAGAGTAAAATAATATAAATATAATAAAAATAATAATAAGAGTAAAATAATAAATGTAATTAAAATAATAATATGAGTAAAATAATAAATGTATAATAATAATAATAATTACAGAGTAAAATGATAAAAACTTTGATTCGAGTATAAGTGAAGGGGGGCTTTTTTAGCCTAAAAAAGTGCTGAAAACCCCAGTTTATATTAGAGTATATATAGTAACCTTTTTCCCATGCTGGTCAAACATGTGTTGGGCATGCCTTTTAATCCAATTTCCTGCTACCCCTTGTAGTAGTCCAGCAACTATTTGTAGGGTCGGTGGTTTCATGTTGGGAATCTGACCATATGCAGGGCTCCCACACTCGGGATGGGGAGGTAGGGTCTAGCTCCAATTCTTCTCTTCCTCTGCCATTGTAGGTCTGGCTGTACATAGAGCAAGCAGTGTCTGGAGTGCTTACTATAGGGCCTAATCTAGATCTTCATTCAGCTGTGCACATTGTCTGTGGCCTGTCTCTGGGTTGAAACAGCCAGAGTCACAGTTCCAGCTGAGCTTTAACCTCAAATGATTCTGGAGATCAGAAATAGCATGCCAAACAGATGCGGCTTGTGTACTCATGACTTTATCCTTGTCACCTTAACTACACTTGGGGTGGTTAATATCACAATGAATGTTTCCTTCCATCTAGGTTGAATGGACTCATTTTTCCAACCTTTGACCTTCATCTCCTGGTTGGAAAAGGTGGTGATTTATATTCATAGACATATTGTTGAAATGTGGATTTTTTTCACATGACAAAGTTTGGTAATTCAGCATTTGGACATTCGTGAACCAATATTGTTCTTTATATTCCACCAGGATAACAACAGAATGAGGGATCTGAATGAGGAGATCACATTTTGACAAAATGCCTATGAACATAGGTCACCACTTTTTCCAACCAGGGGATGAAGTGTGGGTCAAAAGTTGGAAAAATGAGCCCATTGAAATACCTAATGTTAGCTTATGGGCCTCTTCTTCCAGAAGCACCAGTGCTGCCACCGCCCGGAGGCAAGGAAGCCATCCCTTGGACATGGTGTCCAGTTACTTGGATAGTTAGGCCACCGGCCAGAGCCATAATCCCAACTTTTGGGTTAACACTCCTATTGCTATCCCTTGCTTCTCACTCACATAGAAATGAAGGGCTTTTCCAAGTCTGGTTGGCCCATAATTGGTGCTGATGTCAAAGCCTCTTTGATCAGGTTGAAGGCCCTAGTGTGCTCAGGTGTCCAATTAAGGGGGTCTCAACTGCCCCTCTTTGTGGCTTCATATGAGTGTCATGCCATGATGGTAAAATTTGGAATCAAGATGTGGCAAAATCCCACTGCTGCATTCACTCGGCGCTAGTCCTGAACTGGGCGGTAGTCTTGGGTGCTAGGCTTTCACACTGGCAGTAGAGGAGTGTCTTTTAAGTCTTTCCAGGTGTATTCAAATGCCTTCCACTACTGGGCAGTGACACAGGGCAATTTGGCATGTATAGGAAACTATGTTCAAGTGGGTCACTTCTCAAGCTCTGTGTTTGCCAGTTAGGTCTTTCAAAAATGGCTGGAGGCATTTATCTCCAGTGGCTCCCATAACTGTAATGGTGCACTCTGTGACTGGGGCCAAGTGGTTAATTAGGACAGACTAGACCTTCAGATATTTATGCATAAAAAGCAACAGCAAAAGCTGCAGCCAAACAACAATAAAGTTGCAGGGAATGGGGGAGAAAGGCAAACCCCTGAGGCACACATCATCAGTTTGCCCAAAGTAGCCAATTTGGCAGTGGAAGCTGGATGTCAGTTGTTTACTTTGATGGAATCAGAAACATTTCTACAGTCCAAACAATAATGAAGCAAGATTTGAGCCATGTCCCTTTATGTTGCTGTCGTGGGCAGTGTGGAAAGCAAGGATGAAGGAATGCTGATAGGAGGCTCAGCAATAGAGCTGAACAGAGTGAACTCAGCCATGAAGTAATGTCTGATGAAAGATCAACTCCTCAGCCGACTGAGCAAATACAAGAGACTTCTAAACAGACTGAGGAAGAATTAACTGCTCCTTCTTTTGTGAGCTTAAGAAAAGAAAGATCTCAACTGCTAGAGTAATTGAGGCTAGCTGACAAGAGAGCCAGCAACTCTAACACCACTGAAAGTAGGATCTAAGCAAATTGAGTTTGTTAACTGATTGCTGGCTACAACATCATAGTGCTTGAGCCGAGACCCTGGACTCTTGATCTCTCATGTTTCCTGAAACCTGGACTATTTTGGAATATTAGCTCTGGACTTTGACTCAACCTTGTATATTGTACATTTCTGGTAATTGGCTCTTGACACTGGATCGGACATTAGGATGTAACTCTTCTGTATTCCAGTGATTGTTTGGCATCTCTGTGGAACTGCTTGTATTTGGGGGTCAGGGCTTTGATAGTTGCTCTCCCTCCTAATTTCTGCATACCATTTCCCAATCCACAGGCCTGTCTGTCTACCATGTACAGCAGGAGCTACCCGAGCTCTGAGAAAACCCCATCCTCAGACCACCTGCAGGGATCATGGTAAGTGGGTTGTGTGTTTGGTTTTTGAGTAATCAATTGGACACAATCACTTCTGAATGCCCCCTCTTATGGAGTGGAGCTAAATCAGCTCCCTGCTTTTCCAAGGAGCTGATAGCAGTGAAATGAGCGAGACAGAACTGGAGGACTTTTTATCACATGGAGGTACAATACCGGGGTCATTCTCTGTGAGGACGGTTTTTATCATACAACACCATTCAATATTCATTCCTGTGATGAAACCCATCGATAGCTCCTGATCACAATATAATTCTGGGACTTATGTGAGAAGGTCCTCTTAGCTTCTGTGGCAGCCTCTGTACCTCTACACCAAACAAAAAGAAAATTCGCAGGAAAGCATTTTGCAAATGCAAAAAGTCTTTAAAAAGAAGCCATCCTGCCAAGCCATTTTAAATGATCAGAGAATTATGACACACTTTTCCTCAAGTAGAAAATGAAGAACACTTGGGAGCCTGCTGTGAATCATTTGCATGGCAAATTGCAAATAAAATTGCTTAGATTCACTCTAACTTGGATGCTTTATACAGTTCCAGTGGCTTGGCTATACACCAAATCTTGTTCTCTGCACTTCATCCAGTACCCTAGCCCTATGGTATACTGTTCGCACCATTCCATGTCCGGCCCTTTTTATAGCCTGTCACACCCATTGTATTAATGGTTATTGGTTTTTGTTGAACATTGTTTTGCTTGAGTTTCAATACTGCTGTTTTATATTCTTATGTTTTATTTAATTGTGTTTTTATCTGGATTGTTATATTTTACTATACTCTTGGTTTGTTTTTTGGGTTTTTTTTGCCTTAATGGATATTTTGTATTTACCGTACATCTTGTGGGCATTTTGTCCCATATGTAAGCCACCCCGAGTCCCTTCAGGGAGTGGATGGTAGGGTATTATTATTATTATTGCGGATTGTGACCTATAAAGCCCTATATGGTATCATCCTCATGGACCTCCTTCCATTCCACGATACTGCAGCTAGAATCCAGCAAAATCGTAAATAAAATAAAATAAAATAAATCATGAACCACATAAGAAAATAGAAACAACAACGTGCACTCGTGTGCTTTGAAATCATGTGATTTGAAGCAGCATTGTAATTCAGTAAATAACAATTCTGGCCATGTGCATTAGATTGTTTAGAAACTGAATTGTAATCTTGCAGGGATATTGATGTAACACGTGTCAGTTGGGCTTTTGAAAAACGTATTTTGTAGACAAATAAAAGTCTGCAGGGATGTTTTTATAAGAAACACTACATTTCTGCCTGGTGCAGTCTGCACTTTCTGCACCCTCTCCAGTAGTGCCACCAATGGATACTAGCATGGTTTCCTCTCATATGTGGATTGGACATATTGTGTGGCACCATGTTGTCAATAATGTTGGATGCCACAGGTCTGTTAGGATCCCAACCTCCCTGTTCCCCAGCCTCTCTTGCATGGTCCACTTTGCCTCACTGCACTCAATACTCTTGGCTTTCCTAGAGGAAGAACTTCTCCCTGCTGCGAACGTCAATTCTCTTTTCGTAACTGACTGCGAAGACGGTGGCAAAAAAGGGCTGCGTCGCAGAATCGTGCGGATCAAGAATGGGGACAAGGTGAAAACCATACCTGGGTGTCCATTTTGAGTAAGAACAAGGAGTAGCAACATACATTGAATCAGGTCACTCAGAATGCATTGACACTGCAGAAGTTGATGTGTTTTGACACCGCTTTAACTGTCATGACTCCATCCATCCTATGGAATCATGCAAGTTGATGGAAATGCTGGTGCCTCACCAAACTACAGCTCCTGGTATTGCATAACATTGAACAATGGCAGTTCATGTGGTGTTAAGCTGTAGTAATTCTACAATGTGTAGATGCACCCTCAGTGGGTTTCCAGGAACATGCAAAAAAATTGAACCTGGTCTCTTGAATTTCTAGTCCCAGGATTAAACCGCCTGGATACATTAAAGAAGAGGAAACACAAAAGCAAGAGAAATATGCAACGGCACTGCTTTACCCTGAGAATTAGAAAATAGTGGCGGGCAATTGCAGGAGGTCTGGGGACCCATTTTCTGTCCTTGGGGGGCCACATGAACTGCAAACAGAAGAAGAGGCAAGAAGTCCCCTTCTGAAGTTGAAAAAAAGTTTGATTTTTTAAAACATTAAGCTAGACACAATTCTTAACCAGACTACTGCAACGCACTTTGAATATCACTCAGAAAGTGCTGCTAACTGGTTCCCCATAATAAAACTATATGACCCCAGCTTTAAAATACCAGTAATTGCACTGGCTACCAATAAGCTTCCCATCCCAATTCAAGGGGCTGGTGATGATATCCAAAGCCCTGAACTGCTTGGATTCAATACCTGAAAGAACCTTCTCCCCTTGCGAGGTTAGAGGTCAGCTAGAGAGGACGCTATTTCTGCCCCACCTGTCAGGGCAATATATTTTGGGAGAATATGGGAGAGGGCCTTCTCAGCTGTGGTACCCCAATTATGGAATAACTCCCCCCTTGGAAGCCTAGATACCTCTATCCTACATTGTCAGACTAATGCTGTTTGACATTACTATACCATGAGAATCCTGGGAGTTGCAATTTGCTAAGTCACCAACTCTATTGGCAAAAAAGTTTAAAGATGCAAAGTTTAAAGTTTAAAACTATTCAACCGGATGGTGCCATGGCAGTTAAAGTGGTGTCAAACTGCTTTAATTCAATAGTGTAGATGCACCTGTTGTTGCTCATGCTTAGGGCCATTCCATCACAAAGCAAAAATATAAATCTTTGGGGGGGGGGGGCATGAATTATTTTTGTCCATATTTGCATATGCATGTTTACAAATGGTTTCAACTGTTTTAATAATGGCTTTAATATGCTTCTAGCCTTTCAATCTTTCTGGTTTAAATAGTAGCAAACTGTTTATGTTTAGTGTCAGGTTGGTTGGGAGCTGCTCTGTTTACATTGTGCTACCTGAATCAATCTGCTGTTTCTGTCTCTCCCCTTCTCTCAGAAACTGGCCTGCGAGGAAGATGCCAAGAAAGCCGATCAATACAAAAATATTACAAATGTGGCAGATGTAGTGACAGACCGTTTCCTCTGCACAGGGGGCTTCGATCCTGAGTTGGACCCAAACACTTGCAAAGGTGAACACTTTCAGCCTGGTTCCTATATCAATGAAATGGAAGGGTCAGGTGGCACCCTTTCATTTAATCGACTAGCAAGTTTATTTCAGCACACGTTTCCCTGGATATGAAAGGGTTATATGTTTACTCCATACCTGTGTGTGATTGAGTCTCTGTTCCTTCAAGTTGCCTGTTTCTTTATGGCGATCCTACAAACTTCCTAGGGTTTTCTTAGGCGAAGAACACACTGAGATGACTTTCCCAGCTCCTTCTTTTACAGCTCCTAGTATTCATTGGTGATATCCTGTCCAGGTACTAACCTAGTCTGACCCTTGCATAGATTCCAAGAGCAGATATGATCTTGCGCTTTCCTGCTTATCTTAAAACATTGGTGCTTAATCTGTGGTGCACAGATCCTCGAGCAGCTGCAATGTCTTCACAGAGGATTCTCAAAGGCTTTTATAGTTAGAATCAATCAGTCAGTCATGCAGTCAATAAAAAGTACACAAAGGTAAAGGTAAAGGTAGTCTCCTGACATTAAGTCCAGTCATGTCTGACTCTGGGGTGTGGTGCTCATTTCCATTTCTAAGCCGAAGAGCCGGCGTTGTCCGTAGACACCTCCAAGGTCATGTGGCCGGCATGACTGCATGGAGCGCTGTTACCTTCCCACCGGAGCGGTACCTATTGATCTACTCACATTTGCATGTTTTCGAACTGCTAGGTTGGCAGAAGCTAGGGCTGACAGCGGAAGCTCACGCCGCTCCCCGGAATCGAACCTGTGACTTTTCGATCAACAAGCTCAGCAGCTCAGTGCTTTAACCCACTGTGCTACCGGATGGAAAATGGAAAATCATATGTTGATTTCAAAGCCTGGATCTATACTGACATACGAAGGTTGAATGAAAAGTAATTCCTTCACCTTCGTAACTCCTCAACAGATGGCAGTACTGGTATGTGGCAGGTACTGGCTTGTTCAGTAGACTCTCCTCTACAGTTCCATTTTGGCGGGAAGTCTTAGCATTTTATTGAAGATAAGTAAAAGCAGCAAAATAAAAAAAACATTTTAAAGGAATCGGTGAATCCAATTAGGGAAGAAGATAAGCAGGAACAAATTAGTCCAAGGTAAGGTTCAGCGAAGTCCAAAACAAAGTCCACTCTTCTCTAATAAGATCCAAAGAACTAGGAAATGTTGACCCAAGGCAGAGACCAAGAGTCAAACCATGGAACAAGAAATCCTTAAACATGACTCTTCCAGGCAAAACTTCCATGAGACAAAAACAAGAACTTAGCAGGATTCTGAACGATGCTTCATTTGACTATATTTCCCATGCACAGAACTTTTATTCCCCCGTTAAGTCATTCCCAGCACTCAGGAATTGGTTTCGCTTTCCCCTTATCTTTTTCTGTCGGAGCCTGGCAGAACGCCGAAGGCCTTGGTCAAGCTGTCTGTTATGGCTAATTTCCACCCACCTGTCTATATGCTCATTAGTTTCTGCTGGTGCCAAGTTGTTTTCAAGCCCCAAATCCTGGGAACTCTCTGGGAGCAATTCAGGGAGTAAACCATCATCCCTACATCCTGTAGGAACATTCTCATGGGAAACTACACTTTGAACAGGTGCCTCTATGCCAGTGTTTCTCAACCTGGGGTCGGGACCCCTGGGGGGTGTCGCGAGGGGGTGTCAGAGGGGTCACCAAAGACCATCAGAAAGCACAGTATATTATGTTGGTCATGGGGGTTCTGTGTAGGAAGTTTGGCTGAATTGTATCATTGGTGGGCTTCAGAATGCTCTTTGATTGCAGGTGAACTATAAATTCCAGCAACTCCAACTCCCACATGTCAAGGTCTATTTTCCCCAAACTCCACCAGTGTTCTCATTTGGACAATAGAATATTTGTGCCAAGTTTGGTACATATACATCATTGTTTGAGTTCACAGTGCTCTCTGGATGTAGGTGAACTACAGCTTCCAAACCCTTCTAATATTTTCTGTTGGTCATGAGAGTTATGTGTGCCAAGTCTGGTTCAATTGTATCATTGGTTGAATTCAGAGTGCTCTTTTAATTTAAATGAACCATAAATCCCAGCAACTACAACTCCCAAATGACAAAATCAACCCCCCGCCCCCAATCCCACCAGTATTCAAATTTGGGTGTATTGGGTCTTTGTGCCAAATTTGGTCCAGTGAATGAAAATACACCCTACCTATCAGATATTTACATTATAATTCATAACTTCAGCAAAAGTACAGTTATGAAGTCCCAACAAAAATAATGTGGTTGGTGGGTCACTACAACATGAGGAACTGCATTAAGGGGGTCGCAGCATTAGGAACATTGAGAACCACTGCTCTATGCCATTCTCTGCATCAATACCATTGCCATCTTGAACCTCATTGACATCATTCCCCACATCCAAAGCACCCTGATCCTGAAACACAATCACAGGCTGAACTCCAACACTTCCCATCAGCTGCTGCGGGGCTCTCCCGCCATCTTTAACCGCCATTCCACCAGCCGCTCTGTGGGAGGGAGCCAGTTACCAACCAGGTACTCACCAACAGCTGCTAGAATATGGCCATACAGCCCAGAAAACACACAATAACCTATTGAATCCAGCAGTGAAAACCTTCGACAATAGTTCAATACATGTAATTGCAGAAGAAGGTGTATTTTGACATGAGGGCACATGCATGCTCCAGAATGTACCATGGATCTGGGCCACCCACATGCTTTTTGGTCTGAGTTTCACATTGCAGCCATTGAATCATTGCTTTATCATCTCTCTTTCCTTCTGCCTGCAGGTGATTCTGGCGGCCCCCTCATCATTCAGAAAAGGCTGCGTTACATCCAGGTGAGTGGGCACTTGGTCTGGTCCCAGGCTGCTTAGCTAGATGCTTTCAGAATAAAATTATTAGGTCTATATAACAAACTTAAACAAGGAAAATATGAAGGAAAAATATAGAAATAAGACAAATTGAGAGAAACACTTAAAAGAATGGAAAAATAAAAAAATAGTTATTATTTTACTCTATTATTATTATTGGAAGGATATGTTAGCACATTTACATTGAAGAAGGTTAGAATGTTGGTTTAATCAGAATTGGAAAGTCTTATTTTAAATTACAGCTTTATGTCAATATTAAATACTGATGCCTCAATTAATGTAATTTTATTGGTATCTATTTTTATTTTGAAATTTACCATTTCCGGCTGCATTTCCCACACTCGGCTTATACTCAAGTCAATACATTTTTCTAGTTTTTTGAGGTCAAATTAGGTGTCTCGGCTTATATTCAGGTCGGCTTATACTCGAGTATATATGGTAATATTTTTTTAAAACAGCAAAACAGCGAGTCCGCTAAAAGCAAACTTTGAAATAGCGAGAGAACATTGTAAATAAATAATATGCTGAATGCTGAATACAAAATGTCCTAGATGCAATTGCACCAAATGAAAATAAGTGTAAGCACTAATAATAGCATTTGCATGTCTATTCAAAAAGTTTATGAATATTTGCACCTAACTGAAATAAGTATAAATAATGTGATGAAAACGTCCTCCCTTTCGTTTTGCAGGTGGGTGTCATCAGTTGGGGCGTCGTGAATGTCTGCAAGACCAGGGAGCCCGTGTGCGAAGGGGAAAGAGGTGCCCAGCAGAACTCCCCCAGCCATGCCAGGGATTTCCATCTCAACCTCTTCAAGGTCATACCGTGGCTCAAGGAGAAACTGAGCAATGAGGAGCTGGATTTCCTATAGACCTGCTATTCAGTACAACCAGCATCTTTAAATGCCATAGATGAAAGGTCAGGCTAGCAATTGTATATTAAATTGCCATTTGCGAAAAGAAAGCTGTGGATTCTTTCTTTACTTTTGTTCGTTCACGTCCAGTCCTGTCCCTTGTAGGATTTGGTGTCATAGTATAGATTACACTAGGCATGGGCAAACTTTGGCTTTCTAGGTGTTTTGGACTCCAACTCCTAAAATTGTGGAATTGAGGCATTTGAAGCCCAAAACACTTGGAAAGCCAAAGTTTCCCCATGCCTGCATTACACAGTCCAACAACAAATTTTCTTAGTGTCTTGGATTTTGGGCCTTTTCTTGAGGTTATTTGGGGCACTGACTCAATAAATTGCATTGGATAGACCGCATCAGCTCTAATTTCTTATATACAGTTATGAGCAAACAGATGGCAATGAGCATCCTGCATATCCAATATTGACATGATCATAAAAGTAGCAACATTACAGTTATGAAGTAACAACGAAAATTATTTTATGATGGGGGGGGGTCACCCCAACATGAGGGACTCTATGAAGGGGTTGCTGTGTTAGGAAGGTTGAGAAGCACTGCATTAATGTATTCTTGGATATCTGTGTGTCCAGACACTGGTGAGGAGAGTACCCTTCCATACAAGACGTACATCATATCATTGAAAGAGTAGAAACACAGCCATCCAAATGACCTCAATGCAAAAGGATCACAAACAAACAAAACCAGTTCACGTTTATTTGAACAGTTTGACTAAGCAAAAGCAAATGGCTCCACCATTGAAATGGAGAAGGTCACACCCCAACCTCAGAAGATATCCTCGTTGTAGACGACCTGGGAACGCTTGTCTCGGTGAGACCACTTGACACTGTTCCTCACAGCTGAAAAAGGGGAAAAAGTGTAAGTGATTCCAAAAATAGAAGACTCAAAATCATACTTCTATCAGTTCCTGGCTGACATCCTCTTGGTGAAAAATGCAGACATAAGGCGAAGTTCCACATGAGGGACCTTTGTGCAAGTGTTAGCACATGAACGTTCACCAAGAAACATGCAAATTCTCCTTGACCATCACACAACAGGCTACGAGGCATACACACTGATCCTTTATTTTTTTGTGGATTTGATTAATGTCTAGGCCAGTGCAACTTTATGATGAACTTTTGCTGTGATTTTAAGTTTTGAATACATTTTTATGATTTTTAACTGAATTTTTAAAATACCACGGATATTTAAAATACCACAGATATTCTGTCTTAATATTAGTATATTTGTAGGGTTTTTTGTATTGAAAATGCTTTTAATGTAAGCTACTCTCCTTGTGGAGAGGAAAAGCAGGATATAAATAAACATAACAACAACAACAACAACAACAATAACAATGTTGATCATAGGTTTCCACTGAAAGACCTAGAGGTTCTTCTGGTTAACAAAATGTGCTTTCTTATTCATAGTTTTCCCACTTTAAGCGAGGTTCTGCAACCCTAACACGGCAAATCTAGAGGGCTGGTTGTACATTGTCCTACACTGGTATTCAATTGTGCCATGTATGCATTATGTAACAACTCCTGCAGATGTTGTTGTTATTATTGTTGTTGTTGTTGTTGTTATTGAGTTGCTGTGAGTTTTCTGGGCTGTATTCCAGGCAAGAAACAATCAGCACTAGTTAATTATCTCCCAACAAAGGATTCCCCAGGCAGGAAGCAGCCAAGCCTTGAAGCTGCAAGACTGTTCAATGCTAATCAAGGTGATCAATTGCAGCATTCGCACCTTCCTCCAACAGGCAAGAGTTCTTTCTCCCATCCTGGACATTCCACAGATATATAAACCCCATTTGCCTTGTTTCCAACAAACCTCACAACCTCTGAGGATGCCTGCCATAGATGTGGGCAAAATGTTAGGAGAGAGTGCTTCTGGAACATGGCCATACAGACTGGAAAACTCACAGCAATCCAGTGATTCTGCCCTTGAAAGCCTTCAACAACACATTAATAATAATAATATTAATAATAATAATAATAATAATATCCCACTTTTCACCTGATGGGTACTCAAGGTGGCTAACACTCCTCACTAGAGAAGTTTAAAAGGTACAATACAAAAGTTAAAAACAATTAAATAGTAACAGTGTGGTAAAAACATAATTAAAATACAGTAAATACACTAAAATGGACACTAAATCTCATATTCTGGGACAATGTAGGCGATTAGTCCCTGGCTCTGCCAGAGGAGACCAACATGCAACCCAAACAACATTGGATGTTCAGTACTCATCATGTAGTCATCGGAAAAAGAGACAGGAATTTTATATTGTGATGATTTAAAGCAGAAGCTGTTCACAATACACGATTATAGTGCTATATTCCACTTTAACTGCCCTAAAAGTCATCTATGAAATCTTGGGATTTGTAGTTTGATGAGGCACTAGATCTCTCTGGCTGAGAATTCATAAACGGCAGATTGCATAGGATGTTGCCATGGCAATCAATGTGGAATGAAAGCACCATTTATAACCATGCACACTGAACTGCCATGGCTCTGTGCTATGGAATCCTGGGAGTTGTCATTTGGTGAGGCACCAGCACTCTTTGGTGGAGAAGGCTAAAGAACTTTGTAAAACAACAACTGATTCCCATGATTCCCATGTGGTGTCAAACTGCATCAATGCTACAGTGTATATGTGGCCTTAGTCTGATTCCTGTCTTCATTAAAGCCAAAATAAGTACAGTAAAAAATAGGAAATTTTGGTTTCCTAAACCTCTCCTTGTTCCTCATTTTTCTCAGGCAAAATTTGCCTCTCCCCAGAGCCTTAACTTCTCTATAATATCTAAATGCCGGACTTTTTGGTAGTCCAAAAAAACATTATAGCCAGGTATATTCTCAGTGTCCATGTTGAATGTTAAATTCTGGGAAATGTAGTACAATAAAATAATTCCTATAATCCATTTGCCAATTCCAACTAAGCACAGGACTATTGTATCTAGGTAATTATGAGGAATACATACCCAAGGATCCCCACACAGATTTGCCCGTGGCTGCATCCAACATGGGCTGCTTGCGGGCAATGCTGACCTTCAGCTGAATGTCTTCCACCACCTTTCCATTGAGCTATAAGGAAATGAGGGAGAGGCTAAGCATTCATTTATATATACTGCAGTACAAATTCTGCTTGCTGAATAAGAATGTGATTACTTTTTAACATACCCACCCAGAGGTGGCCCTAGGTAATTTTCAACGGTAAGCAAACAGTATTTTGCCCCCCCCCCCTCAACCAATCACTGATATATATTTTCTGTTCATCGTGGGAGTTCTGTGTGCCATATTTGGTTCAGTTCCATCATTGGTGGAGTTCAGAATGCTCTTTGATTGTAGGTGAACTATACATCCCAGTAACTACAACTTGCGTATGTCAAGGTCTATTTTCCCCCAAGAGCGCCTCAAGAGTGCCCCTGGGCAAAATCAACTATACTGCAAGTGCTTACTTTGCGTAATGGGTTGAGCCGCCCCTGTTCCCACAACGTATGTGAGTACCATCCCTTATTCTTTCCACAGTGCCAGCACATTGTTCTTACTCCTTTTATCATATATGATGTTGCTGAAGATACTTATAAAAATACTACAAGAATCTCAGCTGACATTTTACGGGCCAAGCAGAGAAGAAAAGCACAAATGGGGAAAAGCAGAGATTCTGACCTCAGTGATAGCTTGATCTGCGGACTCCATTTTTTCATAGGTGACGAAAGCACAGCTGGGAATGAGAAAAGAGAAAGGTTAGCATTGATGCTGGGTATGCTCCCAGTACATCCGATGGCCCCCAGGCAAAAAGTGAAATTTGGAAAAGTTACTTTTTCAACCATAACTTTTAAGATAACTGAGGTAAGGCTTCACAGACTGCCAAAAGATAAACAAATTAAAAAAGCCTGAAGAAAAACACCTGGAAGTCTACTCTTAGGCCCCATCTATGTTGTCATTATAATGCAGATTGAACTGAATTATATGGTCATATAATTCAGATCAATGCAGTTGAACTGCATTATAATGGCAATGTAGATGGGGCCCTCCTTTTAAAAAATTGGTTTCTTTGAAATGGGTTAAACAATGTGTAAAAGGCTATGCCTAATTCCCACTGCCCCTGGTGGCGCAGTGGGTTAAACCCCTGTGACAACAGGACTGAAGACCGAGAGGTCACAGGCTCAAATCCAGGGAGAGCGCAGATGAGTTCCCTCTGTCAGCTCCAGCTCCCCATGCAGGGACATCCCACAAGGATGGTAAAACATCAAAACATTTGGGCAACATCCTTGCAGACAGCCAATTATCTCACACCAGAAGCGACTTGCAGTTTCTCAAGTTGCTCCTGACACGACAAAAAAATCTCTCCAAAGGATACAACTTTCTGTGTGATCTTGGAAGATAAGCAGGGACAGTAATTGGATGGGAGACCACCAATGAACACCAGCTACTGTAGGCTGTATTTCAGAGAGAGGAACTGGCAACCTCAGAGTATTCCTGGACAAAGAAAACCTTATGAAATTCAAGGGGTTGCCATAAGTCAACTGGCAATTTGGACATTCATGGAGCAAATCAAGGCTGAATTCTCTCCATATTCCAGAAATGATCAGATTGATTCTGTCAAACCTCTAGACATATGAGATGACATGACTTGTTAGAAAAAATTAAGTCTTGGCAAAGTGGAAGGAAAAGGAGGAAGGTGGATAGATTAAACCAAGAAAACTACAATCCTAAATTTGCAAGAGTGGTGGAAGGCAGGATATTTGGAGGTCTCTCATTCGTAGGACCACCATAATTCAAAGCCAACTTCATGACAATTAACAACAAAAATAGTAAAAAAAAACCCACTATATATCTAGAAGTAGATGTATAGGATAGTTGGTCCATTACACAGTTGTTATACAAATATAAACAATTGTTTCATAGTTATTGGCACAGTAGCAATATTCAAAAACATCTTAATACTGTACTTCAAATATTGGTACAAGTTGAGCATCCCTTATTTGGAATTCCAAAATCCAAAATGCTCCATAATCCAATGCTGGGTAGATGAGATAGTGACACTTTGATTTTCTGATGGTTCAATGTCCACAAATTTTGTTTCATGCACAAAATGATTCAAAACATTGCATAAAATGACCTCCAGAGCCCCCAGGGGTGCAGTGGGTTAAACCCTTGTGCTGGCAGGACTGAAGACCGACAGGTCGTAGGTTCGAATCTGGGGAGAGGCGGATGAGCTCCCTCTATCAGCTCCAGCTCCTCATGCAGGGACATGAGAGAAGCCTCCCATAAGGATGATAAAACATCAAATCATCCAGGTGTCCCCCTGGGCAACGTCCTTGCAGACGGTCAATTCTCTCACACCAGAAGCGACTTGCAGTTTCTCAGGTCACTCCTGACATGACCAAAAATCTCCAGACTATAAGCACATGAAAGATAAAAAAATGTGTGTTTAAACTTGGGTCCCATCTGCAAGATTATGTACATACAGTAGTCCAAAATCTGAAAAAATAAAATGCAAAATAAAATCCAAGAATTTTGGATAAGGGATGCACCGCCAGTATGGCCCTATTCTTTCTCCATTTAGGGCACAGCGTGTACATAAAAGCTTGTGGTTGATATGATGTAAAACTCATGGACCAAAGTGTATTTATAGGAGAATGATCCCAGAAATGTGATCTGGATCCGTCTTGTTGTGGCCTGGTTGAGGCAAAGCAAGATGGCTGTTACTTCAGGAGGCAGATTACACTATGTAACAAAATGTGAAACATTTTCTGTTCCTGGTTCGAAAGTGTTATTTCCTGTTTCATTGTGCAGTACTCACTTTGAAAGTAGTTGTTACATTCCAGAAACTTCATTTTTTGTGGTAGCCACAAACTATGTTGAATTGGTTGAGACTTGATGAGATATTCATTGGAAAACTATAGCAAAATGTGCTGCAGGGTGTCCCACAAAAACAAAGTTCTGGCAGTTTAATATACTTTTTCCATGTTTCTATGACAGAACCAATTATGAAATGATATTTATAACCCAGGAACAAAAATTGTGTTACATAGTGTTATGGGTGACTTTAAAGCTGGCAGTTTGGGGAATCTATCAGTAGAATTTGCTATCCACTTGTTGATTTATTCTTTTCTTTGTGACATGCAATAATAGTAATTCCTGGTGGATTTTCTTAAGCACAACAATGACCTGGCCCAGCCTTTGTCCTTCCCAGCACTTACTTGCGGGGGTTGTCCATGGAGAGATCAATGATGTTCCCAAAGACTGAGAAAGCGGTACGGAGCATGTTCTGGTTCATGTCAGCCCCATAAACATACACTGTATTTCCTTTGCGTGGGGCACGGTGGTCTGGGAAAGAATCAGATCCTAGGGAGAGAAAAAGGGGAGGAAAACAAAGATACGTTGTTTTTCTTGCCCCAGGAAGCCTCATTCATGTACAAATTGATGCAAAGTCCCCTTGAAATTTTGCCTATTGCCTCAAGAAACCTAGGCATAATGTTCCCATTGGGCCTTTCTCATCTAAACATGCAGTTTAGTTCATATGTGTACAATGGGTCCTTCGGATCAGACTGGAGACTGGTATGTGTCATATTGTTAAATGGCAGTGACGTGGACACAGATGATGTTGAAGTGTGCACAATTTATGTAGCCACCATTTAATAATATGGAAAAACATGGACCATCTCATATTTGTGATGGGTCCCTGAACTGAACCCCCACAGGTAAGTCAGCCCGCTGTACTGTGCGCGTATACTTTCAGTAGTTATGCCACTGTTAGATATGCAAAAAACATCACAGTGCAGATATAGATATAGATTGATAGTAAATCCCTTTATTTTTACTGGCTGTCTGAGGGGTCACATTGCCCTATGAACTTTGGAAAAGTTACTTTTTGGACAATAGTAGTCTAGAATGTTTATCTCCCAATCTCTGCATATGAGCTTGTGGAGATTTTGAGATCTTTAAGGATGTTTTTACTTTGCTCCATTTGCGTAACATACAAAGAAGTCATTCTCTGTGGCTCTTTGGAGATGCTCTACAAATGGAGGCAAGATTGGCTCCTATTCTGTTATAATTTTGTTGGCAAGTAAAGTCTTCTGTGTTTTGCAGTTTGACAACTGACTACTAAGGACAGGACTTGTCAACAACAAGGTTCTGTACTTTTCTTAGTTATGGATTTTAATCCATCAGTCTTTTAATCATAACTGGGACCCAAGGTGGCTTTCTTTAGCATTGTGAAGATACTAGTAAAATGCAAAACAACACCCACTATTAATTAAAATTACAAATGAATACATGCATCAAGTACAGAACCCCACTAGCAACAAGTGCAACTTGGCCAGAAGTCAACTACTAACCATTGCAAGGGTCCTTTGCCCCCAAACTCAGCCAATGTGGAGGGCAAAGGTCCCTTTCAAAAGTGGGAAAACTGTGAATAAACAAAGGGAACACCCTTGCATTCCCTTTGTTTATTCAATAGTTAACTTCTGGTCAAGTTGCACTGGAGGACCCATACATTTTTAGAGAAAACTTTTTGATCATAGAATCCTTGAGTTGGAAGAGACCTCATGGGCCATCCAGTCCAACCCCCTGCCAAGAAGCAGGAAAATTACATTCAAAGCACCCCCGACAGATGGCCATCCAGCCTGTTTAAAAGCCTCCAAAGAAGGAGCCTCCACCACACTCTGAGGCAGAGAGTTCCACTGCCGAACAGTTCTCAGTTAGGAAGCTCTTTCTAATGTTCAAGTGGAATCTACTTTCTTTCCTGTTGTTTGAAGCCATTGTTCCACATCCTAGTCTCCAGGGCAGCAGAAAACAAGCTTGCTCCCTCCTCCCTATGGCTTGCCCTCCCATCTTGATGCATGGCCCTTCTCTTTTGCAGGCTAAACATGTCCAGCTCCTTAAGCCGCTCCTCATAGGGCTTGTTCTCCAGACCCTTGATCATTTGAGTTGCCCTCCTCTGGACACATTCCAGTCTGTCAACACCTCCCTTAAATTGCGATGCCCAAAATCGGACACAGTGTGATTCCAGGTGTGGTCTGACCAAGGCAGAATAGAGGGTAGCATGACTTCCCTGGATCTAGGCCAGGGGTCCTCAAACTTTTTAAACAGAGGGCCAGGTCACAGTCCCTCAAACTGTTGGAGGGCCGAATTATAAGTTGAAAAAAACATGAATGAATTCCTATGCACACTGCACATCTCTGATTTGGAGTGCAAAAAACACTTTAAAAGAATACAATAATAAAATGAAGGACAATTTTAACAAATATAAACTTATTAGTATTTCAATGGGAAGTGTGTGCCTGCTTTTGGCTGATTACATAGAATTGTTGTTGTTGCTGTGTGCTTTCAAGTAGTTTCAGACTTAGGTTGACCCTGAGCGAGGGCCGGGTAAATGATCTTGGAGGGCTGTATCCGCCCCCGGGCCTTAGTTTGAAGACCCCTGTTCTGGGCACTAAACTCCTGTTTATGAAGGCCAAAATCCCATTGGCTTTTTAAAACTGCTGCATCACATTGTTGGCTCAAACGAATGAATAATCAAATCAACAAATGTTACCCCACCCCCCGCCAAATGTGGAGAGTTGACTGTAAGTCTATTCAATAAATAAACAAGTGGAATCTTTCAAAACTGTTTCCAGCCTCTCTCTACAAAACTGTGATGCCCAGCTTGGCTACTCAAGATAAGGGTTCTGGAATATAGGATGTGATCTAAGTATTTTAATAAGTAAATGAAGATGCCATTTGGATATGATCCCTGCTGGGAAGCCAGGACATCAGCCCTATCTGAGAAGCTGCAGTGCCTGCCCCTTCCCCCTCCAAAAGCCAGCAAGTATTCCTTACGGCGAAAGCCGCCCTCTCGTTCCCGCTCCCGCTCTCGCTCTCTGTCCCGGTCTCGATCTCTCTCTCGGTCTCTGTCTCTCTCCCGATCGCTGTCCCGATCCCGGTCTCGATCTCGATCTCGATCCCGGTCTCGATCTCGATCCCGGTCTCTCTCCTGGTCCCGATCTTTACTCCGGTCCCGGTTGCGATCCCGGTCATAATCCCATTCGAAACCACGCATATTTTCACTCCGGTCCGACTCCTTCTCTGGATCCCGGGTCACATCTGAATCTTTCTCTTGGTCCCGGAGCCGTTCGCTGGAGCTCACAAAGCTGGACAAGGGATGGGGAAAAGAGGGATTCCTTTGGGCTAAAGATGCATTTAAAGATCCTCTTGGCTGTGCTGGCCAAAGACATCATGGGCTTGCCACAAATTCATTGCCACAAGTTAGAGCCAGTGTCTAAGGCAAAATAAAACGTATGAGATTGCTAGTAAAGGGGATGACTAAAACTGGTAGTAGCCAGACTAACCAATAGCAACCTGACTGGTATACCACCTGTAATGGGATTTCGATGCTTGTGTGGGACTCTGTTGTGCAATGTGATTGTTCTTGAATCCCAACATCTTGTGCTGAAACTTTAACACCATTTTAATTACCATCGGGAACAAAAATCTTTGCTTATTTCATGCTTATATAGAAGAAGGGATCATTTCAAAAGTTATTTCTTCACTCAGTGAGAAAGTGAGGGTTTGGGGGCTTTTCCACATTTTTTTCCTTGTAGCTTAGTAGCCTCAGTCTGTGAGAGGTCTCTGTGGGAGAAGGGCCTCAGTGTTGGAGGCCTCAGTATGAGAAGGCCTCAGTGTTAGTTCGCCTCAGTATAGGAGAGGTGTCAGTCTGAGAGAGCCCTCAGTGTGAGAAGGCCTTAGTGTTAGTTTGCCTCAGTATAGGAGAGGCGTCAGTCTGAGAGAGCCCTCAGTGGGAGAAGGCCTCAGTGTTAGTTCACCTCAGTATAGGAGAGGCGTCTGGATTTTGGGATTTTTTCTGGCCAAAACAAAATTTCGAATTGCATGATATTCTATGATTCTATGATTCTATGATATGGCAGTGCAGATGGGGCCACAGAAACTGTATTACGCAAAGGATCCTGGGATTGATCCCTCTTGTAATTGTAATGCAGTGAGGTACGATTGCCATCATACCTCACTGCAAAACAATTTAATCGGGGTTTTTTTGTCGTGTCAGGAGCGACCTGAGAAACGGCAAGTTGCTTCTGGTGTGAGAGAATTGGCTGTATGCAAGGACGTTGATCAGGGGACGCCCAGATGATTAGATGTTTTATCATCCTTGTGGGAGGCTTCTCTCATGTCCCTGCATGAGGAGCTGGAACTGATAGAGGGAGCTCATCTGCCTCTCCCCAGATTTGAACCTGTGACCTGTTGGTCTTCAGTCCTGCCGGCACAGGGGTTTAACCCACTGCACCACCGGGGGCTCCAATTTAATCGTTAGATCACCAGCTATTATTTACCCCTTTGGAATAAGGTGAGATTTGACTTTTCAAATTCCACACTGGCACGACAAAGAAAATTATAAACTGAACTGACCTTTCATAGAGAGACTTCCTTTGGGGCCGCCGAGCCTAAAACAAATATTTTTGAAAGGAAAGGAAAGACAAAGCAGTGAGTGAACAACTGAAATCAGTAACTCTGGAGATCAGAACACCCTTGTCTTTATTTTCCCCTTTCTTTGAACTGCCCAGAGACATTATAAAACCAGTCCTTCATCTCCTGCTCCAACCCAGTATTTTGGATTAGACTGAATTAATTCAGACAGTATAGTCTGAAATAATTCATCTATAGTGCAACTGTAGGAAGTTTGTGTCAGAAATATTAAAAATTAACTAGATATTTTTAATTACAAAAATGTGTCAAGCAGTGAAAGGGTTAAATGGATGCAATGACTCAGCAAAAGCTGCAGTTCAATATAAGCAGGTGTGCATGTAGCTTAGTAGCCTCAGTCTGTGAGAGGTCTCTGTGGGAGAAGGGCCTCAGTGTGTTAGAGGCCTCAGTATGAGAAGACCTCAGTGTTAGATCGCCTCAGGATAGGAGAGGCCTCAGTGTGAGAAGACCTCAGTGGGAGAAAGGCCCCAGTGTCAGGCAGGCCACAGTGTCAGTAGGCCCCAGTATGAGCATGCCTCAGTGTGAGAGGAAGCTCCAGTGTGAAGGCTGCTGTGTGTAAAAAGCTACTGTGTGAAGGTCCTGTGTGACTTCAGTGTGAGAAGAGGATCTGTGAGAGTGAAGCATAGAAGCATGGAAACAAAGAAGAACTTTATGGCTTCAAACTACAAGAAAGGAGATTTCACCTGAACATTAGGAAGAACTTCCTGACTGTAAGAGCCATTCAGCCGTGGAACTCTCTGCCCTGGAGTGTGGCGGAGGCTCCTTCTTTGGAAGCTTTTAAACAGAGGCTGGATTGCCATCTGTCAGGGGTGCTTTGAATGCAATTTTCCTGTTTCTTGGCAGGGGGTTGGACTGAATGGCCCATGAGGTATCTTTCAACTCTATGATTCTATATTTGTGTTATGTAAACTTTGTCCTTGTAAATAGCGCAACCCTATTATTTTGCTAAAAAGAAAAGCCTCCTATGGAAGAGATAACATTGCTCTTTGTTGTTTTTGTTCTTTTTATCACTTTGGGCTCCTGGTGGTGGCTCACGCTGCTGGTAATAATTTACTCTGCTGTACATTTATGAGGAGGGTCTTTTGTTAATAAGCCCACTCGCCCAACAGTTTGTAACACACAAGGTCCCACCATCCCTTCCCCAGCACCCTTTCCCTCAGTTAGATTCATAGAATCATAGATTCCCTGAGATTTAATTCAAGTTGCTCTTTTCTCCCCAATTCTAAACCACAAGGCACAATGAATGGTCTTCCCACTATACACTGCAGTCTCTATCCATTACACCTTCTTGGCAACCTATCCTGAAACCAAAACGCTTTCATTGCCAGCACTAAACGTTCCCCCCAACCTATTCTTGCATGGAAAATGTTGAAATATTGGTTTTGTGTTTAAGTTCCTAGAACCACTAGCCAGATATGGCTGGTGGATGCTGAGAGTTACAGTAAAAAGGTGTATTTCTTCCAGACACTACCTATGGGATTTCCAGAAGTGTCACATGTCATGACCAATAGCCAGGAATAAAAGTTGAAATCTTAGATTTTTCATCCCAAGGAATAGAAAAGCAAACCAAAATACCCCTTTGTCTTAATTCATCCCATCCCAATACAGACCCCCAAATTCCAGGTACCTCTTGGGAATCATCATCTGCTGAGATGCTGCGTTGGAAAGGCTGGAAAGTCGGGGCTGGCCCTTTCTCAGGATCCTAAAGACACACAAAGGGTTTAAGAGTGGGCTGAATGTGCATTGGTCCTATTAATACCATCATGCCTCCAACCCAGTATATCTGCTTACTTTCAGTTTCCCCTCCAACGTGCGGGAGCGCTTGAACCCCGAGTTCTTGTTCTCAGCCTTAATAGCACTAATGGCCCCCGTTTTCACCAACATTTTGGCCTGCTCTGTCGCTGTTGCCGTATCCACCACAGGCTGGTCCGAGATGGCTGAGAAAGAAAGAGAGCAGAGTATAGGAAGATCTCGGGATTACTGTACTCTGACCCGTCCCTTTCCCCTTCTTTCACAAAAAGCTGTTAACTTACAGCGTTTAATTCCTCCTTGGCTGGCCTGACTGGTTGAACTCTGTTGCTTCTTTAAGGCCACAAGGGCCTTTTTCTGTTGGGGGAGGAAAGAAAGAAAAAATGGTTAACGTTATGTGGAGTTGTGGTTTTACAAGGTCTTTAGTCCTCTTCCCAAACCAAGGTAGGTCCAGCCTAAAGAGTGCAACGTCCAGCCTCGGTGCTCACAAGCCCTGACCTTCTTCTTTAGTTTAGCAAACTTCTTCTGTAGCGCTTCCTCTTCTTCCGTCAGCCCCGGAGGTAAAACAATCATGGTTGCTCAGCAAGGTCACTGCCTGGAATGGAAAGAAAACAAAAGCAACACATGAATGCATTTGAGTAAAAACACATTTTTAAAAAGATACATAAAAATTGCCCAATAATAAGCCACACTTATTTACACATTGAAAGTTTGCGTAAATAAATAGCACAGACCAATACACATCTTGGTGCCTCCAACGTTAGGCCTGTTTCTGGGTATATTTGACCTACTAATTTAAAAAAATGGCACCTGTTTCCCCCTATCGGCTCTAGTTTTTGAGTTACAGAACATATGGCATCTACCAGTCTCCATCTCCTCAGTGATAGGAAACCATATCTAAGAAACTTCAAACTACAAGAGAGGAGATTCCATCTGAACATGAGGAAGAACTTCCTGACTGTGAGAGCCGTTCAGCAGTGGAACTCTCTGCCTTGGAGGCTGCTTCTTTGGAAGCTTTTAAACAGAGGCTGGATGGCCATCTGTCAGGGATGCTTCGAATGCAATATTCCTGCTTCTTGGCAGGAGGTTGGACTGGATGGCCCATGAGATCTCTTCCAACTCTTTGATTCTATGATTCTATAAACTAGAGATGTTGTCTATCCAATGCAATTTTCTGAATCAGCACCCCAAATAATTCTAGGAATAGGCCTAAAAACAAGTCACCAAGAAATGTTTTTTTGTTGCTTTGCAGGGCAGCAATCCCTACAAAACTCTAGTTATCCAGCCTATTGGACTACTGGGTTGTTGTGAGTTTTCCGGGCCATGTCCCAGAAGCATTCTCTTCTGACGTTTTGCCCACATCTATGGCAAGCATAGTGAAGTCTGCCGGAAACTAGGAAAATTGGGTTTATATATCTGTGAAATGTCCAGGGTGGGAGAAAGAACTCTTGTCCGTTGGAGGAAGGTGTGAATGTTTCAATTGTCCACCTCGATTAGCATTTGATGGCCTTGCAGCTTCAAAACCTGTTTGCCTCCTTACTGGGGGACCTGGCCATTCCACAGATATATAAACCTCACTTGCCTAGTTTCAACAGAGGCTGGGAATACTGGGTTGCTGTGAGTTTTCTGAGCTGTATGCCCATGTTCCAGAAGCATTCTCTCCTGATGTTTCACCTGCATCTATGGTAGGCATCCTCAGAGGTTGTGGGGTCTGTTGGAAACTAGGCAAGTGAGGTTTACATATCTGTGGAATGTCCCGGGTGGGAGAAAGAACTCTTGTCTGTTTGAGTTAGGCGTGAATGTAGCAATTGGCTACCTTGATTAGTACTAGCTGTGCCCTGCCATGCGTTGCTGTGGCCTATAGTAAGAATTTTTGAAGTAGAGGTAGATATATTATGAAAGAGAGGTACCTACCTATTCCTTCCCCCTTTTTCTTCCCCTTCCCCTTTCTCTCCTTTCTTCCTTCTCTCTCTTTCTTTTCTTTCCTTTGTTTCATCCTCCTTCTCTCTTTCCTTTCTCCCTCCCCTTTTCTTTCTCCTTTCTCCTTTCTTCCTCCCTTTTCCTTCCTTCTTTCCTTTTTTATTTCCTTTTCTCCTTCCTTCTCTTTCTTCTTTCCCTTCCTCCTTTTCTCCTTTCTATTCCTTCTTCCTTCCTTACTCTCTTTCCTTCCTTCCCTCCTTCCTTCTTTCCCTCCCTCCTTCTCTCTTTCCTTCCGTCCCCCTTTCCCTCCTTCATTACTTCCCCTTTTTTTATTCTCTCCTGATGTTTCACCTGCATCTATGGTAGGCATCCTCAGAGGTTGTGGGGTCTGTTGGAAACTAAGAAAATGAGGTTTACATATCTGTGGAATGTCCCGGGTGGGAGAAAGAACTCTTGTCTGTTTGAGTTAGGCGTGAATGTAGCAATTGGCTACCTTGATTAGTACTAGCTGTGCCCTGCCATGCGTTGCTGTGGCCTATAGTAAGAATTTTTGAAGTAGAGGTAGATATCTGGTCTATTATGAAAGAGAGGTACCTACCTATTCCTTCCCCCTTTTTCTTCCCCTTCCCCTTTCTCTCCTTTCTTCCTTCTCTGTCTCTTTCTTTCATTCCTTCTTTCACTCTTTGGTTTCATCCTTCCTTCTCTCTTTCCTTCCCCTCCTCCCCTTTCTCTACTTCTTCCTTTGTCTCCTTTCTTCCCTCCCTGTTTCCTTCCTTCTTTCACTTTTTTATTTCCTTTTCTCCTTCCTTCTTCCTTTACTTCTTTCCTGCATTTCCCTCCATTTTTCTTTCCTTTCTACTTTCTCTTCTTCCTTCCTTCGGTACCTCTTGCTTTCCTTCCTTCCCTCCTTCCTTCTTTCCCTCCCTCCTTCTCTCTTTCCTTCCTTCCCCCTTTCCCTCCTTCATTCCTTCCCCTTTTTTTTTCCAGTGATGGTCACTCCTTGGATTGTGAGGAGTTTTATTGCCAAATTTGGGGTCTTGTGAGGAGTTTTATTGCCAAATTTGGCCTTGTAGTTTTCTGGTTTTTAAGCCACTCATTATGCACAGAGTATATATATACTATCTTCTATCTATATATATATATATATATACTACTATCTATCTATATCTTTTTTATATATATATATAAAAGATATAGATAGATAGAAGATAGTATATATATATATATATATATAGATATCCCTATTGGTCATTATATATATATATATAAAAGATACAGATAGATAGAAGATATAGATATAGATTTATTGACCTAGCAGTTTTCAAGGCCTGGCTGCTTCCTGCCTGGGGGAATCCAGATTTTGTCAAATTTTTGTTTATATATCTGAGGAATGTTCAGAGTGGGAGAAAGAACTCTTCTTTGTTTGAGGTAGGTGTGCATGTAGCATTCAATGGCCTAGCAGTTTTCAAGGCCTGGCTGCTTCCTGCCTGGAGGAATCCAGATTTTGTCATTGTTTGTACCATGTCAGACTACACAGAAAAGCCACTGAAATCCACAAGCATGTGAACAATTTCAACAGGAAGGAAGAAACCATGAAAATGAACAGTATTTAAAAAACCCTCTATAATCATAACAATAAATAAAGAAAAACACTCAAAACCAAGGAAATTCTAGACAAGACTAAATCAGAACCAACTAATCACCTCCCAAAAAAGGAGTCCCCCAGGCAGGTAGCAGCCAGGCTTTGAAGTTGCATGGCCATTAAATCATAGAATCATAGAATCAAAGAGTTGGAAGAGACCTCATGGGCCATCCAGTCCAACCCCATTCTGCCAAGAAGCAGGAATGTTGCATTCAAATCACCCCTGACAGATGGCCATCCAGCCTCTGTTTAAAAGCTTCCAAAGAAGGAGCCTCAACCACACTCCGGGGCAGAGAGTTCCACTGCTGAACGGCTCTCACAGTCAGGAAGTTCTTCCTCATGTTCAGATGGAATCTCCTCTCTTGTAGTTTGAAGCCATTGTTCCGCGTCCTAGTCTCCAGGGAAGCAGAAAACAACCTTGCTCCCTCCTCCCTGTGGCTTCCTCTCACATATTTATACATGGCTATAATGTCTCCTCTCAGCCTTCTCTTCTTCAGGCTAAACATGCTCAGCTCCTTAAGCCGCTCCTCACAGGGCTTGTTCTCCAGACCCTTGATCATTTTAGTGATAAAGGGTCAAATGCTAATCAAGGTGGCCAATTAAAACATTCACACCTACCTCAAACAGACAAGAGTTCTTTCCCCCAACTTGGACATTTCACAGATATATAAACCCAATTTTACTAGTTTCCAACAGACCTCACAACCTCTGAGGACGCCTGCCATAGATGCAGGCGAAACGTCAGGAGAGAATGCTTCTGGAACAGGGCCAGACAGCCCGGAAAACGCACAACAACCCAGTGATTCTGGCCATGAAAGCTTTCAACAACACAATTGGACTACAATTCCCAGAATCCCCAGCTGCCTTGGCCAATGGCCAGGGATTCTGGGAAGTGAAGTGCCCAAACAGTAAAGCCTTGAAAACACTGTTTATTTAGGGGATTAATCAAGTCCTAACTGTAATTAATAACCCATGTATTCATGCCAAGATTGACTTTACCCTTATAATAATGATAATGATAATAATAATGGCTTTGAATGTATGTTAGTTAAGGATGTTGATTATTTCCCTCCTTACCTTGTTTTTCTGCCTCTAGCTGGAGCCTCCTCCCTGAACAATTACATAGAAGGAGGCGGGGCTTGTGTCATTTGCATAACCTGCCCAGCAACGCTTTCCCTATTGGTCATTAAGAAAATCAGCTCAAAAGATTTTTTTTCTTCTCCGACCTAAGGCTATTCGGCGGGGAGGTTTTGATTTGCATATCAGCCGCTCATTGGCTGAGCCGCGTTAGTGGGCGGAGACTTTCGAAGCCTAGAGAGATGCGGGAACCACCCGCTCTTTTTGATTTGCATGTCGCACTGCCATTGGTCGTTCTCCTTCCGCCCTTAGTAAACTTGCCCAATCGCCTTTCGACTTCCGCTTTCCCGCGATGAGGCCCAATTTCCGCCCTTTTTTCCCCTTTGAGGCAGTGGAAACTTCCGCCCTCAACGTGTAATCCAAGAATGGGTGCTTCCGGTTGAGCAGAAGTCCTGCCTCTATGGGGAATCCTTGACAGTTAACATGGACCTGGAAAGGATAGGTAAGAAGGAAGCTAGGCATGCTTTCCAGTTGGCTGTATATAGAATCATAGAATCATAGAATCAAAGAGTTGGAAGAGACCTCATGGGCCATCCAGTCCAACCCCCTGCCAAGAAGCAGGAATATTGCATTCAAATAACCCCCGACAGATGGCCATCCAGCCTCTGTTTAAAAGCTTCCAAAGAAGGAGCCTCCACCACACTTCAGGGCAGAGAGTTCCACTGCTGAACAGCTCTCACAGTCAGGAAGTTCTTGAATCATAGAATCAAAGAGTTGGAAGCGACCTCCTGGGCCATCCAGTCCAACCCCATTCTGCCAAGAAGCAGGAATATTGCATTCAAATCACCCCTGACAGATGGCCATCCAGCCTCTGTTAAAAGCTTCCAAAGAAGGAGCCTCCACCACACTCCGGGGCAGAGAGTTCCACTGCTGAACGGCTCTCACAGTCAGGAAGTTCTTGATAATAATAATACACAGGTTGCTGATGAGCTTGAGCTTCATTTTGCAGATAATAATATTGCATTTATTATACTAATATTACTTATTTATATTCAGCAATATATTAAACATAGCAATCAAAAGTGGGTCCAGCTAAAGGCATACAATGCGAAAAATGTAAATATATGTACAACATATGTAAAGATATGTAAAATGTATGTAAAATATATGTAAAACATGCAAATATATGTAAACTACATGCAGATGATGCATGCCATATGCCATAAGCATATTGATCCCCTCCCCCCAAAATGTGATTAGAAGTACCTATTTTGTTGCTTATGATGCTTGCTTTTATTGCTTATGATTATGTTGTTTTTATGCTGTTTTATATTTTGCTGTTCTGTTTTTAACTGTATGTTATCTGGGCGGTGGCGCAGTGGGTTAAACCCCTGTGCCAACAGGTCGCAGGTTCGAATCCGGGGAGAGGCGGATGAGCTCCCTCTACCAGCTCCAGCTCCTCATGCGG